AATGAGGGGTTCAATTTCCGTGTTGGTCGAGAAAAATGAAATGAAATCGGGTTTAACGTCCTACTGTTCTGCTCCTAAACTGAGCTAATGAAGACGAGCATACGCCATACAGTATGCTATGAAGGAAATTTTGCCCAGGCAGCGGCGCTATGGCCTACTCTTTTATCAAGTTCCAACTACCAAGGGATCTTTCATGTGCACTCCTGTGTGTACACGTGACCTCAGTTTTTCATCCCTGACTAGACAGCTGTTCTTGTCAGGCCCACCGTCCTGTATCACTGACAAGGGGAAAACACACAGGAAAATCTGGATGAACTTTCTCAGCCAATGCAGGGATCGAACACCCGACCCCCAGGCTAGCGAGTCAGCGTCTTACCCACTTAGCCAAAGTGATCCCCATGTTGGTCGAGAAAGTTCCCTTTGTTAGTAGTGGTGTAGGACAGAGGACCTCAAAAAAACAGTGTCTAGTCCATCACGTGGGTGTGCACGTAAAAGAACCCTTGACATTTGGAATTTGAAAAGAGAGTAGATCATTCATTCATTCAGTTTCTCTTTGTGTGTCACCTACAGACCGCAACTACTAAAGGAGCTAGATCTCTATTCTTGGGCACTTAGAAATGGATACAAAATGTAATGAAATGAAATGGGGTTTAACGTCCAACTGTTCTGCTCCGAACTGGGCTAATGAAGATGGCCATACACCATACAGTGTGTTATGAGGGAAATTTTGCCCTGACAGTGGCACTACGGCCTACTCTTATATCGAATTCCAACTGTCAAGGGATCTTTTACATGCATGCCAATGTGTACACGGGACCTCGGTTTTTTATCCCATCTGAACAACTAGACAGCTGTCCTTGTCAGACTCTCCGTCCTGCATCACTGACAAGGGGAAACCACGCCGGAAATCTGGATGAACTTTCTCGGCCAATGCAGGGATCGAACACCCGACCTCCAGGCTAGCGAGCCAGGGTCTTACCCATTTTAATGACTACACAGCTGTCTTGTCAGGCCCTTAATTGTTAGTATCATGACATTAAACTGACATTTGTTTTACGTTTTACAACTAATATCAGGTTTATGTTAGAAAACTAACGTTAGATTTATGTTAGAAAACTAAAGTTAGATTTATGTTATAAAATTAACATTAGATTTACGTTAGAAAACTAACGTTAAATTAACGGTTAAAATTATGACATAAAACTAACACTAACGTTAGATTTACGTCAGAAAACTAACGTTAGATTTACGTCAGAAAACTAACGTTAGATTTACGTCAGAAAACTAACCATAAACTAACGGTTAGAAACCTGATGTAAAATTTACGTTAGATTAACGTTAGAATTATAACCAATAATACATATATAATTATTATGTCTGAATTCCGACTATATATCAATTGTTAGAATGTGCACACACTTGTAATGTTATTTAATCAAGAAGTATTCAAAGGGAAAAAAATTGGTTAGTAATCCGTCATAAAGTTTACGTTACATTTACGTCATTTTCTGACGTAAAAGTAACCATAACCATTATGACGTAAAAGTAACGTAAATTTAACCAAAGAATTTTACCATTATTGGACGCTAACCAAAATCTAACCATAATGACTTAAACTTTACGTAAATCTAACCATCAATGTTAACTGGGTACAGGGTTACTAGCGAACTAAACTTATTAAACCCTATAAAAAGTTTTATGGCCGCATATTGACTTGACTGGTAAATATAACACGTCTTTCTCGGCTATTATTCTAGATATATTTAATTGACGCGTATACTATCTTCCTGATAATGTCTGTCTACTACATCGTTAACACTGTTCATCCTGTGCATTTTGCATACCGATAGTTGATTGGCCAATCACGCTATTTTACCGAGATTTCGTCTAATAATTTGGATGCAGCTATGGCGGGTTTGGCGCCAGGCAGGGTAATCATTACTCTTCCGGACACCTGTTACTACTGTTTGTCGTGTATTTTGTACACGGTGAACAGTCCGTATGCTGATTACACTATTTTGCCTTATTACACTATTTTGCCTATACCGTTTTGTTTAGGACTTCGATTTTTTTTCTAATGGTTTGTATTGCTCGTGCTTGGTTTTAATTGCATCAATACCTTGACTAAGTTCGATAATGAGCATTTTCTGCCCAGGGTAAACAGAGCGATAAGCAATTTGATAGGTCAAGACTTTGGAACACAATAACTCTCCTTCGAATTGAGGTAGAATGTTCAAACTTGGTGTGGGCGTTGATTGGTTGAATGTCTTGATGGAGTTCAAAGATAGGCATTTTCTGCTTAGGGTAAGCAGAGATAAGCAAATTGATTGGTTGATGCTTTGGGACACGATAAGTTTGGTTCTAATTAAATGAAAGTGATGAAACTTGGTGTATAGTTTCATCACATCTATACCTTGACTAAGTTTGATTGTGAGAGCATTTTCGGCTCAGGGTAAGCAAAGCGATAAGTAATTTGATTGGTCGAGACTTTGGAGCCCGACAACTTTGATTCTAATTGAGAGAAAGTGGTGAAACTTGGTGTATAGTTTTATTACATCAGTACCTTAACAAGGTTCGATACCGATCATTTTTTGCTTGGGCAAAGTAGAGACTTTAATCTGATTGGTCGAGACATTGCAACACAATAACCCTTCTTCTAATTGAAGTATAATGTTCAAAATTGGTGTAGGTATCTATTACGTGAATGCCATGACATAGTTCGTTCACGTGCATTTTCCACTAAGGCTAAGCAGAGATGAATAATTTGATCGTTTGAGACTTTGAAACACGAAAACAATTCTGCTTTTAAATGAGGTATAGATGTTCATTAGGCGAATGTTTTGACTGAGTTCAATGATTAATATTTCTCATTAAAGCTAAGCAAAGATACGCAATGTCTTTGGTCGATGCTTTGGGGCAAGATAACTTTGATTCTAACTGATGGAGAGTGATGAAACTTAGTCTATAGTTTCACTCAATACCAGGTACTTCAAAACCTGAGTTTGATAGTGAACATTTTATGCTTAGACTAAGCATAGACAATCAGTTTGATTACCCGATCTTTTTGAAAAAATAAATAAATGTGCAATTAATCAATATGTGTCATCTGTTTTTTGGGGGGATTTCGGCGGTAGACATGAGTCTCAATGTTGGCTTGTTCAAAGTATAACAGAAATAAAATCTCTACTGAAAAAGAGGCTGTTGTAGCGTACCTAAGGGCTTGCCAATTTAATGCACAACCCCTTACCGCTAACATAAGAATACAGGATATCCTTACCGGTAGACGAGGGCGAGGTGTCAGCCAAAGGTAACACAGGCTGAAAGTGAAACTGCTACTCGTCAGTTATTGGACCGGCTCTGGGCTTTCAGGTGTAAGCTTGCGGTACTATCAATTTACAGGCATAGGGACCCTGATAAAGAAACAGACAGGTCCAGCTTATACTAGCAAATCGGTATTAATAACCGCCTTCAAGCCAGCATGATTACGTGATGATACAACCAACAGTCGGAACATCAAAACATATTTTTATAGATTTATGACAATGCTTACAATCTGGTTAACCCGTACGTTTAACCCGTACATATAACACTATAGGGTTATTTTAGGTCTAAGAAAAGTGTTCTGTTTAATATAGAAATCTTTACCTACATGATGTGTGACGAAAACTAGGGTAATGAAGTAGCGTCAGTGGCGGATTAAGCTCCACCAAGGCCTGAGGCGGCAGTTGCTGGAGGGCCTATTTAGTTTTTAAATAGGGCCTATTTAAAATGGCGTGGGCCTAATTAATTTCGGGTCAGTGCCTATGTTGATTCCCGTTGGGCCTAAACCCCACCCCCCTAACATTCATTGTCTATGCGTTTTTAATCGTATCAGACAAGTCTAAAAAAAATTTTTTTACAAAATCTTTGGGCCTGAGGCTGCAGCCTCACTGATAATCACTGGAAAGCCAAAATGGCGTGGGCCTAATTAATTTCGGGTCAGTGCCTATGTTGATTCCCGTTGGGCCTAAACCCCACCCCCCTAACATTCATTGTCTATGCGTTTTTAATCGTATCAGACAAGTCTAAAAAAAATTTTTTTACAAAATCTTTGGGCCTGAGGCTGCAGCCTCACTGATAATCACTGGAAAGCCAAAAAGACCAAAGGGTAGATTTAATGGAATTTTAGAGGTTAGGGATTTGTTAAAAAAATAATGGCTAAAAAGGACGATAAAAAGGTTAAAATAATTAAATTAAGAAAATCTAAGTAAATAGGAAAAAAAATAAGGTTTGGTTTAGGTTTAAACATGGGTAACTTTCTATAAACGTAGGAAATAAATAATGAAAGTAATGAAACGAAAGATCCTAAAATTGAAACGGTAAAGCTAATCACTGCATTGGTTGACACAAGTAAGGTGTCTCTATTTAACAACACAAACTTGTGTTGAAACAACACAAAACTTGTGTTAAATGTTGAAACAACACAAAACTTGTGTTAAAATTTATCAAACAACACAAACTTGTGTTGAAACTTGTGTGAAAATCTACACAATACTTGTGTTGAAATTTTTGAAACTTGTGTTGACATTTTTGAAACTTGTGTTGAAATTTCTGAAACTTGTGTTAAAATTTCTGAAACTTGTGTTGAAATTTCTGAAACTTGTGTTGAAATTTCTGAAACTTGTGTGATTTCATACAGACTTGTGTATAACCATCAACAAAAACATGTGTTGTGTTTTTCCCCAATTTATATCCAGTATAGCAACCGTATTATGCAGGACCCCTCTCTTTGCTCTGTTAGACCTGTAAAGTTTGATAAAAGAAGGAAACAAAATTTGTTTTTGTTTTTGTAAGATTATTATTTATTCATAAAATCATAGGAAAAAATAAATTAATACATCAAAACTAAATAGATATTTGAAATGTTAACAGAAAAACAGAAAATTCTAATACTAATTATATTGTGTTATATATAATGACCCCCCCCCCCCCCCCCACACACACACACACACACACCCCTCTTTACCCATCACAAAATATAACATAGCTATTTAAATTGTTCTTAACCCCACACACGTTACCTATCACAAAATATAAAATAGCTATATAAATTGTTCTTCACCACAAAACAAGAACTGAGAATATAAAGATATGTACACAGTATCCCTACCCCATACTCCAAAATATATAATTCAAATATATCTAAATTTAATAACATCGAAACCAAGCACTAAGATTAATTATGCACTAAATTGAAACAATTTCAAAAACTGAAAAGTGCCACAAAATCACACTACAAGTGATTTGTGAGACATCTAGAAATAACTAATATACACAGAAAACTAACAAAAGAAAAATGCACTATTTTGCAGGAGTAATAAAATGATGTAAAACCTTTTCCTCATTAAAAAAAACCCAAACAAAATGAATATTTTGTAAATAAAAGAAGCAAAGCATCAAGATTACAGGATTGAAATAAAAAAATATCTTATGTACAAAAAATTTATATACAATCACAAGTCATAAGCCACAGTGGTTCAGTGAGTATAAGGTGTTGGCCGAGAAAGTTCAACTGGATTTTCCGGCATAGTTCCCACTTGTCAGTAGTGTTGGATATGGCAAGGGATAATTGGGTACAAACCCGGAATCGAAAGCAAGAGAGAGAGAAATGGGGTTTAACGTCCACTTGACACAAACTAGGTCATTTCGGGATTAACATATGGTTTAATTTTATTTCAATAATTCGTTGCGCATAGGGGTCTTTAGCAGTGGGAGGAAACCGGAGGTCCCGGAGAAAACCCACAAGATTGGGCAGGCGACCCTACTCCTTGTCACGTACAACCGGGGATTCAAAACCACGCCAGTTGACTCAATGACAGGCCGTATGATACAGCACGCACGTGCTTACCATTCGGCCATCCACCACCCCCTCCCCCAACCCCGGAATCGAAACCACCCCCACTGCGGTCACTTAGAAGAACCCTTGACAATTGAATTATTTGACTCAATGACAGACTTTCTGATCAAATGTGTGCGTGTTAATCATTGCCCCCCCGGGTTCCCGTTAAAGAACCCTTGACAGTTGAAATATTTGATATAAGAGTAGGGTGTAGGGCAGAATCACTCTAAGAACACAGAAAAGTAGGATACTAAACCGTATTTCATTTCATAAGCAAGGGAAAGTCACCTTTATGTAGGTCAAGGTTTTTTGTAATTCTGGGTGTATTTGATCTACATTTGGTTTCTAGTAATGCCTATTAAATACTTTATGATTTATATGTCACTTTACTTGCTATATTATACATACATTTCTGAAGAGAATTAAAATCTAATTGTGTTTTGGAAGAAAATTTAACATTAATAACAAAAAATAAATATTTAAAAATTGGGTCAAATGCATTCTTTCCCAGAAGTATAAAATAAATTGATGCTTGGGTTTTCTTGTTGTTATCATACAGCAAATACTCTTTCAATGGTGTTCCAGCCTAAAAAATAAAAAGTAGGCAATAAGAATACTTTCTATGGTTCACAACGTCTAAATAAACAATTTATTTTGCCACATCGAGACCGAGTCTCTATTTGGTTTCAACTTTGCGTAACGCTTATTGTGTCTTGTCCAGTTACAGACCCAGGCAGATTATTATGCTCAAATCAAATGAGTTAGAAGTCAGAAAAAAGTCTTGAGATTTGGGACTGAAGTCTCATAATAGGTCAACTACGGTATTCACCCTTTCATACATGTATTGTCTGCAAATCCAGATTCCCTACTACATCATGGCAGCACCTATTTACTTGGCAATGTCTAATTATTTTTGGACCCGTTCTTATTTTATTTCCATTGACAACAAATTTTTGACAACAAATTGGATATTACCCTTTAAAATCTATTGAAATCTATTTGAAAGTAAAGTACTGTCCATCATTATTTTACTGCTATTTACTGTAAAAATACACATACATGTAGGGCCTATCGCAACTTGAAGGAAATCAATGGATGTGATTGGCAAAAATCAAGCATGCCAAGTACTTGAAATAGCAGAGTCCTAGGCATTGCCCCAAGAAGAATAACTAGATTACCAAGCAAGTGTATAGAAGTACTTCCTGATTAAAAATACAAATATATATGTTACTTACATTTTGCCTGATTATCGAGCTCCGTGAGAAAAGTTTCCACAATATGAATAGCCATTCCAACTGTCTTTATCTTTCTGATGTAGTTAACTGAGAGAAAAAAACATACTATGTATTAGATCACTTAAATTGACTCAACAGTTAAAAGATGAAAGTTTTAATTTACAGTCTATATTTTACACAAATTTCTGGAGAGAATTAAAATATAATTGTGTTTGAGAGGGATATTTAACATTAAAAACAAAAATAAAATATTTAAATAACAGGCCAAATGCAACAGATAGCTTTTACAATCACTGCATTCTTTTTCAAAATTATAAGGAGATCACGTGGGTACGACGCTGGCTCGCTAGCCTGGAGGTCGGGTGTTCAATCCCTGCATTGGTTGAGAAAGTTCATCCAGAACAGGACGGAGGACCTGACAAGGACAGCTGTCTAGTTGTTCGGATGGGACGAAAAACCGAGGTCCTGTGTACACACTGGCGCGCACGTAAAAGATCCCTTGGCAATCGGAATTCGATATAAGAGTAGGCTGTAGCGCCGATGCCCGGGCAAAATTCCCTTCATAGCACACTGTATGGCGTATGCCCGTCTTCAGTAGCCCAATTTATGAGCAAAACAGTAGGATGTTAAACCCCATTTCATTTCATTTTCAAAATTATAAAATAATTTGATGGCTTAATATTCAAAAGGTACAGTCCTTCATGTTTATAAAATTGTACGGGAGCCATAAAAAGCTCCTGATACCTTGAATATATGCAGTTTAAAAGTAAACAAAAATCTCAATATTTAGGAGAGCGATTTAGCTAATTTGCAGGAGTCTTTCCAAGGAAAGCCGACGTGCGTCGAGAGGAGCAGGAGCGAAAGCTCCCCTTAAACGTGAAGGCCTGAAGGTATATGGTTGAGTTGGCAATAAATACACTTTCTACGGTTCAGAATGTTTAAATAAACAACTTATTATTCCACACGGTGAGTTTCAACTTTGCATAATACTTATTGTGCCTTTTCAAGTTACAGACCCAGTTAGATTATTATGCCTCAATGGGTCAGAAGCCAGAACAAAAGTCTTGAAAAAAAGACAATAATGAAAAAATAATCATTTGATTTACCAATTACGTGTATCTCCTCTAAGGCAATTGTGAATACAGTATTGCAAACATTATTACAATATGATATTAATTATATTTTACAAATTCATGCATTTGAACGCTTTATTTTAATGGTTATGAAAGGGTGTAACATTGCATCCATCTTATAGTTTTGAAGTAATATATCAAAACTGTAAGAAAATCAACCAAATAAGCCTGCTGACTTTCATGTTGATCGTATTTCAAATGGCATAGCCCTAGACTATGCCACAAAAAGAAGAACTAGATTACCAAGTGTATAGAGAGAGAGAGAAATGGGGTTCAACGTCCACTCGACACAAACTAGGTCATTTTGGGACTAACATATGGTTTAATTTTATTTCATTAATTCGCTTGCACATAGCGGTCTTTAGCAGTGGGAGGAAACCGGAGGACCCGGAGAAAACCCACGAGGTTGAACAGGCGACCTGAATCCTTGTCACATACAACCAGGGATTCGAAACCACGCCAGTTGACTCAATGGCAGGCCGTGCTAACCATTCGACCATCCAACCCCACCACCAAGTGTATAGAACCAGTTCCTGATTTAAAAAGCAAATATGCATGGTACTTACATAGTCTTTGTCTGATAAGCAAGCTCTGTGAGAAAACGTCTCCACAATATCAATAGCCCTTTCCAACTTGATCGTCCGAGGTGGGTAACTGAAAAAAAAAAAATGACAATGTATTAGTTGGCTTAAATTGACTAGACAGTTTTGATTAAGTCAAAAAATGTTAATTTAATTACATTTGTTTTGTTTCATGTGTTGGTTTGCTTTGCCACAGATGAGACAGTGATATCTACATATAACTAAGATTCTGTCTTTGCTCATACATGACGTGTACAGTTTTACTATAATAAACTGAATTTTAGATTTCAAAATAGCATAACAATCTTTTCTATTAGAATTGAATAGTTACCCACCAAGAAAAAGCTGCTCTATCATCATTTTTTCCAGCCATTTCTTCTTCCATTTTTTTCTTTTATAATTTCTTTTGTTATTACATGATCTTTTTCGGGGTGATTTGCATATACATCCAATATTGAAACTGAAAAAATAAATACATGATATGTAATTTACGATTAAAGCTACCTTACCATATATACAAACTGTGTGATATGAAATTGAAACTAATGTATCTATATGTATCAAAATACCTAAGCCGTAAAAGTCTATTTTAATAATCCTTGTTTGTCACATGGTTTCACTGTCATAGTAATTAGAAGACGGCCATGGTGACTGAGTGAATTAGGTGCTGGCACACTAGCATGGAGGCCACAGGTTATCTCTTTGGGTTGAATTCGGTATGAGAGTAGGCCATAGTGTCGCTGCCCAGACAAACATTTTCACTTAGCACAATGCATTAGACCAGTCGGAGCTAAATACCCATACCCGCAAGCGAATTATTCATATTAAATTTAACCTTACCTGTCCTTTTTCCCGAAACGACCTAGCGTCTGTAGGCTAAGTAGATATAAGGACCCATCCTACAACAACTCTACATGTAGGTTCGTGCAGAATTAATATAACAGTAACATACCAATTTTTAATACATGTAGAATGAGACAGTGTGCAGGGAAAGGGTGAAAACGGAAGTAGGCTAATCCTCGTCGTAGTTGATTACCGGTATGCATATAGGCACAGCATGGACTACTTGATTCTTCAAATACAAGTACATGTACAGTATGTAAGGATGTCATTTCTCTCTCTCTCTCTCTCTGTTGCATGTAAGTGCCATATAAATACTTTATTTTGGATTGTATGTTCACATAAACTAATCATTGTAGGACGTTGGTAAAAAAAATAAAATAGAAAATATAAAAATTAATTGAAATTTTTACCTGTTTTTCTTCGATTCATTGCCAATGGAGTCCTTGGTAAATTCTCAATAATTATTGCTGGAAGGTGGAAAGAGTCACATATCATCACTGACTGGAAAAAATAATAAAACTATAGAGAAACTTCCACAGGCTGATTCTAGTTCCATTATTTATTAACTGTGACAATCAGGCAAAAATGGGGCCTAATATTAAATATTACACAGACTCACTGAGGTTGAACAACGGAGGGTGTGGGGAAAATATCTGCTTATTAGATTTAAGGTTGTTTTTTTTAAACATAAATTAGATTACAATTCAACTAACACAAAAGTGTAAAAAGATTTTTTTTCTAGTCTGTGCCCGCGTTTATGTCTACTCTTGGCAAAATCGTTATAATATAAAAAATCATGAAACAAGAATCAAAATGGCCGCCAATCGGGTCTCCAACGCCAATCCAACCTCCCAAGATATAATTTCAAAACAGATTCTTACCTGCTGGTTCAAGTCGAGCCGTTTCTGCCTTAGTCATAATGTGATTCTGTAATGTAAGTATTTGAACAACATCGTAGCGCCGAACAACTAATGTTAATTAAGCATGATTTCAGAAAAATTGAACAGATTTGATAATAACATGCCGAAATTTTTTTCCTGACCGCGCCATCTTATAAACATGAACTTCCGGTTTAAATTGTTGGAGTTTTTTTAAGGAAACGAAATACTAATATTATACAGAGAAACAATATCGATGCTAAATTACATACATGGTATTATTTTTTTTATATATAAATATTCACAAACCTGCGGTCTTGTATTCTATGTGACCATTAGCTTACATTTGTCAAACATATCACTGCTCTAAAATCATTTCAGCACGTTGTTAAATGAATTGTGTGAAATCACTTCATTTAATGTCCGCTTCCACCAACATGATATCGCAGACAAAATGTAGCCTATAGTACGTTGATTTTATCAACCAATCACATTCAATGATAGTTTTACTTATTTTCTTGTCAACGCATTTGGAGTCAATTGTTAAAATCACACCGGGCATGAGCGCTCAACAGGCCTTTGATCTACCAGTTTATTGGGCCCAACTTTATTTTAACTACAGACATCTTAACACCAATTAGCATTCAAGTCTGTCTGGCTATATTGTCTGAGTAAAAAATACTTTTCTCTTACTTGTGGACCCCCGGATTAAGACTTTGTATGGAGTTCAAATTTAAAAAAAAAATATTTGTTGACGGTACACATTACTTGTGTTAATTATATGGAAAAAACACAAGATTTGTGTTAATGCATTAAAAAGAACACAAGTTTGTGTTAATGCAATGCAAAACAACACATAACTTGTGTAGAATAATTTTCACACAAGTACTTGTGTTGAGATCCAACACAAGTTTTTTTTCAGTGTACTGCTAATTTTTATTAATGGGGCAGATTAAATTCTATGTCAATACCCATTTCTGGAAAGTAGGGTACTATCGTCCAGTCATCTCGGGCACAGATTAGTACAATTAACTAGAATAATGTTGACGTTAAACGGTGCCTACATGAAACACTTAACCAAAAATTGTAATTGTCCCGCCCTAAAAAGCTGATGCATAATACTTTTATGTATTATAGAGCGGGTTTGATTTACCTCAGACAATCATTCGGAGCTCAAGGGGAACATACCAATAGCCTCCTCAGCTTAGAGGCTAGGATGAACACATCATCCTAGCGCGAACGGTATGTAGAACTATCAAGAAGTATGTGCCTCTTGCCACGTTTAAGCCGTTAGGTCTGAGTTGGAAAGGATATTAAACTCAGACCGTGGATAATTTAATAACTCAAAAAGTAACTATCATAGATATTGTAGTTTCGTGTATGTAACCTTTGTAGTTTGCTGTATTAGTTAGATAAACTTAGTAACAACATAAACGGTGTTCCAGGGTCAATTAATTGATGATTGAAATAATTCATCCAACAACGTGAAGTCCAAGCAGGTCCTAGACGATCATCTGTCCCCATAGTGTCACATCTAATTCCTTTTTGGTACCGCGACACAGGATAGTGTCACATCTAATAATCGCATTCACGCACGTTACATGCAAGTTACTCATAAGTTGGCATACGTCGGCTACCAGCAGGGCAATTGAGCAGCGTACACGTAACTTATTTCTAACCTATAGGCAACGTACTTCTGACATAGCAGCTGAATCACATTATATATCTTTTTAGTTGGTGTTCATATCGTCTAACGTATTTGTCAACATCAAGGCGAACTTTTTCTATTGTCCCATTAGCCTATTCAGACTTGTTACCACGAATTTACTCACCCCGCCCTCGCATAGTTATGAATTTCTTGTTTCACTTGACTAAAGAAACATTTTGTAGGAATCTATGCATTCATAGATTGAACACTTGTTTGCGATATCATTTTCGGTGGAAACGGGCACTATACCTGAAAAATGAACAAATAACGGAGATGGAGTTTCAGCCGGCTGATCTAAATTATTTCTTTAAATACAGTAAAGCTTGAAATATGTCAGTTTTCACTCTTTAGAATGTTTTTGTAAACAAGTTTTTTATTGTAGTTTCCGTGACATATTCCCAATAAGCGTTAGAAACAAAGATATATACACTTAATCCCGGTGCCGATAAATGTTGGGTTGTGTGGAACATGCTAGAGGCGATTTGTAACAAATCTCAGGTACGATATATGTTTGATACTGGTTAAGAACAGTATCAGAACAACATGATTGTTTTCATTGGAGATGGGGCGCAAATATTCAAAGGGGGCCCTGTCTGTCTACCTGTGGAATAACATGCATTTGTATCTGTTAAATTTGTGTGGTTTGTATTATATATTAGACAGATTGATTTTATTTATACATAGACGGGGAGTGATAACGTCTTACCCCAAGCAAATTGCAAAAGAAACCAAGAAGTTTCGGAGAGCGATATTTCGTAATCAGTGTATTTTAGTGGTGAGGGAATAAATAATTTCTTTTTAAATTTTTCAAACACGAACTTGTTATAGAGGCGAAATGTGCCAAAAATCGAATTTGACAAAAATTCAAAAAATGTATTTTTCATATGTATGGCGCCGGGCATATCTATATATACGGCTTTACTCCGCTTTTATATCTGACGTCACGTGGTCCTCGAAATACGCTCCAACACGCTATGCATAAGTTAGGCATAAGTTAGACTAACGTTGTGCATGATTTCCGCATAAGTAAAGAACGCTAAAAAAATTCGTTGGGCACACGCTGTCATATGCTGTCCTCTTGATTTTAAAATTCAGCTTCAGCGTGTTGGATAATTATTTCTTACGTCGGAGTAAGTTGTCTAGGCCCATTAGTCCATTATAGAATGGAATAAAACATTTTATCCCTAGACTTCACGGAGATTTCCTGTTTAATAATGAATTTTCAATAGAAATACGTAAAACACGTAATTTGAGAAAATAATTCACATTTTTAACACATTTTCTCCCCCCCCCCCCCCACAAAAAAATCCAAAGAAATAAACAACAAAAAAAACCAACAAAAAAAAAAACCCCAATAACATCGATTAACAGAAAAAAAAGAGTTAAACTACATTTAAAATGGATATTTTATACAGTACAGAGTACACGACGTCGTTTAGTGTTTTTAAAAATGGTTATTGCGGTATTAATATTGGATATTAGGATCCCATGTTTTCAGGGCAACAAACAACACCAGTATTGATTCATATGGACCAATATGAATTCTAATTCGTGTTTTTAATTTTGTATGTTATGGATATATTTAGTTTGAGATTTAGCTCCTTTAAACAAAAGATATACGGCCACAGGTCGAAAACAATGACAAACAACTCGGTTGTAGCTGAACACTTAAAGTCCAATCCCAGTCACAAGGTCCAATGGTCATAATAGATGTTAAAGCGCTATCGAGGAGTATTACGGGCTATTACACAGAGCCATCCGTATACGACGAAGACATAGACCAGTTCTAAAAAGAGATCAAGGGTTATTCCTCCCCAGGGCGTATGATAATCTCATTTTATAGTAAATTATATACAACTGTGCTAAGTATAATTTCAGTACTATAACAATTTATGAACTCGTTTAGGCTGTATCTTACCGGATGATGACGGGTTTCTTTATTTCCTTCCCATACCATCGTCACATAACAGTATCAACATTATACATCAGATAACTAGATCATTGTACAGTAGATATTAAACGCACATAAAGAGCATCACTGGAACGAGTTCACTAACAAGAGACGTGATTTAATATCCTGCATAAGAAAACAACTGGACAATATAAAATTGATCTACAATAACAGTTTTCTCATTTGAGTACATTTTCGCTCGCTCTTCCTATTTGATTTAATTAATCAATTAAATACAGAAGTCAAAATGAAGACAGTTAGTTTACTAATATTCTTAGGTAAGTAAATCAAACTTATAATGTCACCAAGTGATGGAAGTTTCTTCAAAACTTTGTTCACCTACAAATAGAATAAGGTTGAATATAAAAGTGAAATCGGTGAATATGACGTACTCACCAATTTTGTTATGGCGTCCAGTTATATGGTCAACGGCGATACATCCACTGTGAAACAGATTGATACCGTGACTTGTGCAGAAAGTTTTTATAGTATTAGTCAGCAATTGTGCGCTTCTTGTACCCCCCCCCCCCGCACATCCACAACTAAAAACAAATCAATACACCCAACCAACGCCACCACCAATATAAAAGGCAGCATGTTTTAGAGACCAGGAGGCTTGGCCCAATCTTCCCGATACGCCATTATGAAGCAACTTTAAGATGAAGTTTGGCTAACCTTTTGCTACGCAATTTCATAGCGTACCCCCTATGACCTGACTCCGTCTTCACCTCCATTCGTTTTAACTCTTCTTTTGTTGATTTTAATTTTGAAAACATTTATTTGTTAATTTATTTTACCGGTTTTTTCCTTATATCTTAATATTGCCGGTGAACCATACTGGGCCCGCCCACCAATACAATTCTATCATTTAATTTTTAAAATGAATAAAATTAATAAAATTGTCAAAAAATATGTCAGTGCAAACAAAAAGATGTAATTAGAATTTTTTCCGATTTTGGTTTCTTTATATTTTTTGATAATTTATATTTTAAATATATTGTCTAATGTCTAAGGGGACCCACTTCCTCAGCGGCCCACTTGCCATTGGGAAAGCCGACAACCTGGCCTGTTCGCCACTGCCGGTACTCGTTTTATTTTTTAGTTTTTCAGTTATATTTCACCACAGCAGACGAGTGTGGCTTCTTCAGCAATCTGAAATGTATACCCAATGTGCCTAACCTTAATAGAGATACTGTTTGCCAGTGAGTTAACTTTTCAATTTGGCCATTGTTTTGTGTTTGCGACAGGGAAAATATCTCCTAATTTAAAATAAATTGTATCACATTGGTTCCCGACATTTCTGTTTTGCTGGCACAACAATCGTTATTGGTATCTGATAAATACGGTATTGAGAGAGAGATGCAAATATTTTACAGCATATTATGGTCTACGGCAGCTAACGCTTTCTAGAATTAGTTCAGAAATTGTTCTGTCATCTTCGGAACATACGACATTGCAGTACTCTGAAATATGACAGTCATGATGGCCGTTTACTTCATAGTTTACCGATATGTTATTTTTTTTTACAGGAGTCTTTCAATCGCTAGAAAATGTCTGGAAGAAAATGGTTGTGATATTGAATATATCGATCGAAAATTAAATGATATCCTGGAAAACTTCGGCGTCAAGTGTGGTAATTCCAAACTTATATAGTTAAAATAAGACTAGCTGTTCGTGAAAAACAAAGTCCCGTGGACTTAACCGAGACTTATAAATAGAAGCAACACCCCATTTACGACCGCGGATGCTCACGGGCTCTTACGAATGTCTGGCGATCAACTTGTGGTCATTTTTGAATTGGTGGCAAATTATACATTTTTGTAAGTGGCGCCATTATGTAGATGTATATGTCCCTATTAGAGAGCAACATACCAAGTGGACTTGGGGAATAGGTCTAAATGGTGAAAAAATCTAAATTTCACCTTTCAAGGTGCTCCTTCTCACCAACTTGATTTTAACAGAATGAATAAGCACTATTCAAGTACCATACCTACAAGGCTTTGTTCTGAAAAATAGGTCGAAATTGTAAACACATTAACGAACAGGGGATATGACAGGATATCGGACTAAAAAAGCTGTTGCTTATATTCAAATGTGCTAACCATGATTCATTATTACATTCCACGAAACATGTTTTCCCTAAATACTAGTTCTTTTTTTTCTTTTACTTTTGGTTTACATTTTCTTTTTTCTCTCTTCTAATTCTCTAATAATTAAAACCATGGTATGTTTTATTACATTTTAGATGGTGGAATAGTGAAGTCAAGTTTGTTGCTGATTACTTTATCTTATTTAATGTCTTATGTTCATCTGTTGTAATGGAACACGAAAATCATATGGCTTTGATGAAACACCTGATCAGGATCTGAGACCAATACCCAGTACACACTATAGTCTGCATTGTCTGGACTGGAAATGATGAATCTTTTTTGGTTGGAGAGAACAGTGAATAATATAACGGTCTTTACGGTTATAAATCAATGTATAACACTGGAGCATGGGCGTCACACATGGGGAGGGGGTGGGGGTGGTTGGGTCCGTCCCCCTCAATTGTTTTTCGGGGGGGGGGGGGGGTCTGAATATACTTGGACTCCCCAAAAATTTACATATTTACAACAATTATTAGGATTAGTTAAGATTCTATTGGTATAAAACAATGTACAAATTAAAACACAAACACTTATGGTTACTTTTTGAAATCCATTTATAATACACAAAATGTACAAAATATTTTAAATATCTATACACGTTTCTTGTAAATGTCAATGTGTATGATGTATACAGTATTGTAGTTAACAAGGTGATTGTCATGCATCCTCATTACTTAAAGTTATGTGATCAAGTTTTGTTTCATTTGGATCCCCCTGATTTAAACATGATCAACATTGTATTAGTGAGATGTTTTAGTTTAACCCCGTAAAATATGCTAAAACAGTGTTTACAGAAGACTGAAACTCACCTCCCCCCCCCCCCCCCCGCCCCCACTCTTTCTATCGTGCTACATCGGCGTCACAGATTGTCAACATTTTATATAATTTCATTTGCGCACCCCCCCCCCCCCAATATATATTTCACGGCTACGCCTCTGCACTGGAGTAGACACTTGACTAAATCTCAGAAACTATCATGATCATTTAAAATTTTGCTTCGTCTTTATGGTTCTGATTTTCTACGCCACATAATGTTATGCTTAGGTCCCACTGGGCATATTTCTTACCTTGGAAATTTATGAGCCTCGGATGGCATCGGGAACAAGTTCCACGGTGTCCAAGGCAAACTCCGGGGGCATCGCGAGTCACCTGGAGCCATCGACAGTCCCAGCGAGAACTGCGAAAAATTTCAAAGCTTGCATTGTCGAGAAAACAGGCTCGCCAATTTCCATCGCAAGTACATCACCAAGGCAAACAATGCCCAGTGGGGCCTAGGCATAATGTAACATATATTAAGAACGGCCGCCGTTCAGTCGGCTTCGTTATTCTTTAGATCAGGGGACGAGCTTCGTTTTCGTTGACTGTAGGACTATAAGTAATAACACGAAGCAATGTTAAATCGTGTCTGATGTTTAAGAAGTTCAGTCTCTGAATTATGTCAAAATATAGTATACATATTGAATTGGATTAAGCTGTTGTGTCACTTTTAAATGTATGAAATCAACAGTTTTATTTTTGACGGAATATAAAACGAAGGAGAACTAGTGTGTGTATGTGTATCAGTATTTGTATAGTGCATTAACACTGTTTTGACAGTTTCTTTATGCGCTTCGGGTTCACTAGATTTGTTCTCGATGTCAATATCACAAAGGACCTTCAAAAAGCAAAGTTTTCAGTTTGTTCTTAAAACAGATGACTAGACGCGCGCTTGTATGGGTGTGTGTGTGTATACATGTATATATATATATATATATATATATATATATATATATATATATATATAATAATAATAATATCAGTATTTGTATAGTATGGCGGTATATTAGATTCAAAATTCTAAAATGCTTTCGTCTAACTTCTAACTTCTGTTCATGTATTTTTTAACTTCTATTCATGTAATTTCTAACTTCTATTCATGTAACTTTTAAATTAAGACAATGTATAATCCAACTTCTTTATTTGTTCAGTGTAAATTTTAATTCTATTTCATCCTATTTCTATTATTTAGACGAAAAACGTCTTCTTCATTGATGCTTTACACGTTTAGCATCAACATCAACGAATTTAGAATTTTTACATTCTACCTAGCAACCATCATTATAAAGTCGTTTGGTGTCGCCACTGCGTGCTCATTTGGTGATTGCGCACCTGGTCGGGACCATTATGTATTGTTTAATGGTCGAGAGCGAGACATTAAGTAATATATTGTAACAACAAGAGGACCGTCAGGTCCGAGTGTTTTTACAATATATTACGCAATGTCTCAGCTCGAGACCATTAAACATCTTAAAATACAGACACTCCGCACGTGCGTTTACAGTGAAATACGTCACTCGAGTCTAATATGTGACAATTAAAAAAGGTACGATTGGCAAGTTGCCCGTACGATTATTTGAAATAATGGTACGCCAACATCAAAGGGTGACGTCACATCTGTATTTTAAGTTGATTTAAAATACAGGTGTGACGTCATCCTTTGATGTTGGCGTACCATTATTTCAAATAATCGTACGGGCAATGTGCCAAGCGTAACTTGGTAAAATATTGAACTCGAGTGACGTATTTCATTGCAAAGCACGTGCAAGTGTCTGTATTTTAAGTTGTTTAATGGTCTCGAGCTTAAGACATTGCGTAATATATTATAAAAACATTCGGGCCTCACGGCCCTCATGTTGTTACAATATATTACTTAAAGGAGCTAAATGGCAAATATTGGGTCGCAACTCATATAATACCGTAATATGAATGTATATAAACTGATTTACATTCAATCGTTTCCGTTTTTACTCTAATTTTAAATCAGTTATGTTCCGTGAAATAAGCCAGCAGTCTCAATCGAGTGCAAATTCCTAGCGTCTGGTTATTCCAGTCTACATAAGCCGTTTGGTTTGGTGCAATATGTCTAGCCTCGTTCCTCTAGCCTCTTGCTAGAACTGGGGCTGAAACGCATTATGGTACACGATTCGTGTACCAATGGTAAAATATTTATTTTGTCTTAAATATTGGATATCAGAAGCCCACCCTTTTCCGGTAAGATCACAGCATCAATGTTGTTTTAAATTGACAAATAATTCGTGTTTTAAATGTTGAAGATTTTGGATGATATTGAGTTAGAGACTTAGCTCCTTTAATGTCTCGCTCTCGACCATTAAACAATACATAAACGACTCGTCCTTCGTCGTTTTGAAGGTTGGACAGAGTGCTGAAATTTGCTGAGAGAGAGAGTGAGAGTGAGAGACGGGCTAGATAATGACGAGTGTATCCTCGTCGAAACGTCGCTTAGTATTAAACTCAGTAATTGTGTATCCATAAAATTGTACCCTGTGTTAATATAGACCGTACAGTATATATAAATATTAATTGGCTCAATTGTAAAAAAAAAAAAAATCAAATAAAATTCTCCAAATCCTGCACTTGCTTTAAATAAAAATTAGAAAATGCTGTTTAGCTTATATTTGTAAACCATATCACGTTCGATGCTGTTTGGGGGGTTGGATGGCCGAATGGTTAGCACGTGCGCGCTGTATCATAAGGTCTGTTATCGAGTCAACTGGTGTGGTTTCGATTTCCCGGTTGTACGTGCCAAGGAGTATGTTCGCCTGTCCATCTCATTGGTTTTCTCCGAGTCCTTCAGGTTCCACCCACTGCTAAAGACCCTACGCGCAAGCGAATTATTGAAATAAAATTGAGCCATATGTTAGTCCCGAAATGACTTAGCTTGTGTCGCGTGGACGCTAAACCCCATCTCTCTCTCTCTCTCGATGTATGGGGATCACGTGGCTAAGTGGGTAAGACGCTGGCTCGCTAGCCTGGAGGTCGGGTTTTCGATCCCTGCACTGGCAGAGAAAGTTCATCCAGATTTTCCGGCGTGGTTCCCCCTTGTCAGTGATGCAGGACGGAGGGCCTGACAAGGACAGCTGTCAAGTCCTTCGGATGAGACGAAAAACCGAGGTCCCATGTATACATTGGAATGCACGTAAAAGATCCCTTGGCAGTTGGAATTCGATATAAGAGTAGGCGATAGTGCCGCTGCCAGGGCAAAATTTCCCTCATAGCACACTGTATGGCGTATGCCCGTCTTCATTAGCCCAGCATAGGAGCAGAACAGTAGGGCGTTAAACCCCATTTAATTTCTCTCCATGTATTCAATTTTAACACTCCGCCAACCCATTCAACCAGACGAAGAGCGAGTCGTTTGTATCAACAGAATGGTCCCGATCGGGTGCTCAATCCACTCGGCAAACCTTGGCAGATTCCGGAACCTTACATCAAGCCTCGGCTGTATGACAGTAAGTGATATGCACCTACGCCTATACATTTGCGATGCGGCACCGGTTTACTTATAAGGGAAACTTGCCCGCGTTTAGAAAGAAGTTCTCAAAATTGCGTCGTTCGAAGAGTGTGTAGAATTTTCAGTGCAAATTTGTCCTTGTTTAAAGAAAATCGGATAAACTTGAAAGAAAAACAGCTTCAAACTTTGCAAATTTTGTATGATAAAACATTTTTCAAATACGTCGTCATCAATGACGTCATTAGTCGTCATGGACAACGCCATTGTAATCCGGGAACTTGAAAGTAGTTCTAATGGGGGGGGATCACGGTGGCTAAGTGGGTAAGGCGCTGGCTCGCTAGCCTGGAGGTCGGGTGTTCGATCCCTGCATTGGCCGAGAAAGTTCATCCAGATTTTCCGGCGTGGTTTCCCTTTGTCAGTGATGCAGGACGGAGGGCCTGACAAGGACAGCTGTCTAGTCATTCGGATGAGACGAAAAACCGAGGTCCCGTGTACACATTGGCGTGCACGTAAAAGATCCCTTGGCAGTTGGAATTCGATATAAGAGTAGGCCGTAATGCCGCTGTCCGGGCAAAATTTCCCTCATAGCACACTGTATGGCGTATGCCCGTCTTCATTAACCCAGTTCGGAGCAAAACAGTAGGACGTTAAACCCCATTTCATTTCATTTCATTTAGTTTCTAATGGCGGACTTGGTCATACAGCCGAGATTAGATGTAGGGTACTGGAATCTGTTGAGGTTTGCCGAGTGGTGCTCAATCGCCAAATTGAGCACACGGTGGCGACACCAAACGACGTCATAATGACGGTTGCTAGGTAGAAGTATCAAAATTCTAACATGTAAAGCGACAATAAAGTAGACATTTTTCGTCTTAATAATAGAAATAAGATGAAACAGAATTAAAATTTACATTGAACAAATAAAGAAGTTGGATTATACATTGTCTTAATTTAGAAATTACATGAATGGAAGTTAGAAATTACATGAATGGAAGTAAGAAATTAGTCGATAGCATGTTAGAATTTTGAATCTAATATTGCGCCATAGTATAGTGCATAAACACTGTTTTCACAGTTTCTAATGCGCTTCGGGTTCACTAGATTTGTTCTCGATGTCAATATCAAAAGGACCTTCAAAAAGGAAAGTTTTCAGTTTGTTCTTAAAAACAGAAAGAGATGACTAGACGTATACGATGGGAGCTGATTCCAAAGAAACGGCGCTGAGTATGAAAATGCACGTTTTCCAGTCTCAAGTGTTACACGAGGGATCTTTAATAAGTGTTTATCAGGTGAACTTAAATTTCGGCTTTTAGTATAAAGTACTATCTTGAAATGAATTCGCTGTTTAACTGGTAGACAATGTAATGATGATAACGTGGCATAGATGCTGTCAAATCGTCCTTTCTCAGTGAGTAATCTGGCAGCTGAATTCTGAACATAAATGTAGCTTCTTTATGAGGTTTTCTGGATGTTATTAAATCATGTACAAGCCTTTTTAGATTATCTCTATATTTATCTTATATAATGAGCACTATGCTTCATAATGTTTTTAAATATATTTAGTGAAATCTCCGTTTGTTTTAACACATTGGATGTGGAACTGTGGAACACACAAACGACTGATGCTGTTCCAGGGCCGCTATGGCTCAGTGAGTAAGACGCTGCTTGCTAATCTGAGGATCATATGTTCGCCCCCGGTGTTGGCGTGGTTTCCCCCTATCAGCGATGCAGGGCTGGGGGCGAACAAGGAATAGTGTCTAGTCGTTCGGATGGGACGAAAATGCGAGGTCCCGTGTATACATTGGCGTGCACGTCGTAAAATAACTCTTGACAGTTGGAATTCGAATTGAGCGTAGACTGTAGTGCCCAGATAAAAAAGGTCTTCATAAGCTCAGTCAGTGCAGAAAGTTAGGACGTTACACTCCATTTCATTTCATTTCGAAAATTTAATTTGAGGACTAACCCGTATTTCCTGAATCAGCGTGCCCACAGGTGACAGGGGCTACTCTATTAGAACATAGACGACTGACCTGTGATCCACACCATAGCATGAGGGAAATCAACTTTCGGAATTTTTTTTACTGATTTTTAAATTTGTCCTTCGCGCTTTCTGCATATCATCTTTCGCATTGCACCAACTTTCATATGCAAATATAGGATATCACGTGACTTATTAACATATACGGAAACCCGGCACACTATAAACCAGCACACTATAAGGATATTCACCGCACGATAACAGTAAATCAAGCTGGCACACTATAAGAAACTATCTAGACGACGGTGCGTAGTCATGAATGTGCCAGGAAATAATTGATCGATTCAAAGAGCCAAAGAACATACTTTCCAGTAATTTATAACACAATAACTGGAATTTCGTATTAATACCCGTATTTTGATATTTTAAGCACCCCCCCCCTCTTTCCGGTGTCTCTATAAACAGAGTACAGCCTAATTAACTTTCATCCATTAAAAAACCCCAACAATATATAAGCATTGTGCCGAATGACTCAAACCATCGATTCAAACACACCAGTCTAGTCTAATTAATGCTTCCACTTTCAAACGAATTCTTGTTGTTTAGCTGACGGTGCCCTTATCCTATAGAGTGACTATAGACAGACATCTTGTGGAATCGGCGGCGTATACACTCATGTCCATCACCGACGCGCATGAGTGCAACTTGATGTAGCATTGTTTCATGTGTGGACAGTACAAAGTATAAGTTACAAGGCTTAAATAGTGAAGTGGCTAGGGAATAGATTGGTCTTTTTTCCCATCATAATGCCTCGCTCGCCTTGACAATTTTCGAGTCGCATGTTCAACTGGCTTTTTTGCTCGATTTTAATGCTCTCTTTCAACGATTTCCGAACGTGTACTTAGACGAAAATATCAGTCAAATAGCTCTTGGAATGGCTACAGATGCAAGGAAATGACGGATAATTTTCTTGGGGGACCCCCCCCCCCCCAAAAAAAAAAAAAATCCCCTCGTAACGGCGTGCCCCGTCTCCAGGGTCAGTGCCATCATTTTGCTGCGCCTCCCCCCTTTACAAAATTCCTAGATCCGCCCCTGTTAAGCCCCGTATCTTTATTTTCGTTTAGACCCCTCCCCACCCTTCCTTCACTTCAACTTTAATCTTATTTTGTAAAGTTAAGCAAATATGAATTTGCCAGAAAGTTATTTGTATATTTGAAAAGAGCAATCAGGTATCTGGAATTTCGTATTTCGACCATGGATTTTTACTTGAATACCCCTTTAATAATGTGATATCTATTGGATTTGAATTATGAAAATACGATATTGTACCAGGAAACTATTAACATATTTACAAACAGAAATGAACGGGCTGTTCATTAATATGTAACATGATGCCTGGATTTTCGTATTTGGACATTACACAAAACATTTGTCATTTAACACTTAAGATTTGACGTTTTACCTTTAACTCTTGCCTTAGGGGTATTTTGACTTTATCATTACCGGTATAGGACTTTGTACATTGTACTTTTTAATCAATGTAAAAGACATTGTAGCAGAGCATTTAATATTGGCAGCGATACCCTTCCATATTAAACATGATAAACATTAGGCGTTTTTGTGAACCGATTAGATTAGACCGATTAGCTATTATACGCATTTGTGAACCAAGTTGATTATGCTAATCGTTACATTTGTGAGACGATTTAACTCAACTGATTAGGCAAATCGACCTAATCGTCCCAGGAGGTGTTTAGGCGATTAGATTTGACTTTTTCAAAATGGCTGAATGTTCGACGTCGTAAGTAATTTTTAATGCTTATTGTTGTTTTTCTCCATAAAAAATGTTTTTTTTAAAACGCATTTGACGTGTTTAATGTTAACTTTATAGTCCACAAGAATGTTAGATCACCTCTAAGCAATTTTATTCATTTACAGTTTTTTCAATATATTCCTCGATCCTAGGTTTTCTCAGTAAACTTTTTACATGTTTTTTCAAAAAAATACTTGAACTTGTTGGACATAGGAGATTGTTTCTAACGGCAACCATTTTTCCTTTTTTGCGTAGATAACCTTCATTTGTCTTTAACAAGTCATCAATAATTAGCAGAGACAATTTTTTTTTCTGATCGGTGTCCGTGATCGCAGCCATCTTACCAAATCGTACTTATCAAATTTCACATTTGTGGACCATAGCTAATCAAATCGAAATCATACCAAATCGTACTAGCAAATCAAAACCTAATCTAATCGACTCACAAAAACGCCAATTGTATTGGTGTGATGTTTTAGTTTAACCCCGTAAAATATGCTAAACTGCGCAGCCTCGTACCTCCGGCGTCACGGATTGTCAACATATTATATAATTTCATTTGCCCCCCCCCCAATATATATTTCACGACTACGCCTCTAGTAGTAATATACCCACGGGTGGATTGTAGCATTGGGCTGTGTCCTGCACTACAAAAGAAAAGTTTTCTGAAAGGTCTCCGATAACCACAAATTCCCCGTCGACTAAGACTTTTTTCTGCTTCAAGAAAGCTGCCTGCGATTTTGCAATGAAATCATGTCTAATTAGTCTGGTGACTTTTTCAGAAACGCTTTCGACAAATGCATAGTCACCGTGTGAAGTTGCGACCTATCCGTCGTTGTCCACTGCTGGAATTGTACTTCATCAACAGCGTGGTCATCGTAGACTTCTATTAGTTCTGTTTACAGGCTAGACACATCACGACAGACTTGGCACTTCCGGAAGTTGCACAAATGTAACGGGAGATCACAGAGTACTTTAGCGATGACATCTCTGTACGTTTCCAGTTTCGCTATTTCATTCAACTTCGATCCAGTCATCATCAGCTTCACGTTTTGGTGAATGGTGCAAACGCAAACGGAAAACACCCGATAAACACTGGGTTGAATTAAGCAAAACACTTAATGAAGTGAACACTTCGAGGAAGCCTAATTTGCACATTTGGCATGGCTTCTTCCTCACTTCATTTCTGCCTTCTTTATTTCATTGAAAATTTGAAGTGTTGTTACGGAAGTGTGATAGAAATGAATACCTCTTATTAAATTTTTCACTTCGAGCACATCTCGGTTAAGTGTCATCCACACTTCATATATGGGTCATCGCTTCATTTGCGTGAGGGGATCAGCTGTCGAAAGCTATGATGGTGTGGATAATGCCAATAGTCCTGCCTGCCTACCGTAAGCACTATGAGAACGTATATTTTGTAGCATTGGAAAGCACGAGACTGGGAGTTCACGGGACTGGTATGATGGGAACTCAGAGTGGGATCGATGGGCCTAGAAAGTTGTCATAGGTGGGACGTTACAGTGGGACTATTGTCGAATGCATTAGTATGACTAGTTGGCACCTATGTGACAGCTGAACTGGATAGCATGTAGGGGTACCCATCTTTGGTGATCATTTTGACCGTGTTCCCATGGAGATCCCATGTGTATGACGATTATAGGATATGTCATTATAGGTAGAGGTTCAAGGTCAAAGGTCACACAAAAAGATGTTTTTCTGACAAAATCATCGCAGAACATCGTGCCTTACATCAAATGAAAGGACTCATTCTGCTGCGTATTTTGATACCAATAACATTGAGATGGCACATCTGTGTGTTGAGTTATGGCTGATAGAAGCTTCGAAGTCAGTTGAATGGCCCGAATCCTTGGTGACCCATAAAATGGGTCCCATTAGGCCAAATGAACCAAAACATGGGATAGTGTTTTCTTTCAGGGTGGACATCAATCCCTGCAAGTTAGGTCAAAATCGAAGACACAGTGTCATAAAAGTGTGTACATTGACGTGGAATGCCCCCAATACACTATTCTGGGTCAAGTATGAAGGCATTATATATTTTCGCCAATATTTGATTTTATGTCAACTTGTTAGTGTAACTATAGCATTAACTTGACAATTATCACCAACTATGTGAATTCCTGTAGCAGTTTGTTTTTAGCTTTCCCAAAATTTAGGTCAAAATCGAAGACACGGTGTCATAAAAGTGTGTACATTGACGTGGAATGCCCCCAATACACTATTCTGGGTCAAGTATGAAGGCATTATATATTTTCGCCAATATTTGATTTTATGTCAACTTGTTAGTGTAACTATAGCATTAACTTGACAATTATCACCAACTATGTGAATTCCTGTAGCAGTTTGTTTTTAGCTTTCCCAAAATGTATAGTTTTAGTTGCGAGATCCAAAATGCGAAATTGGGTTTCTATGTTTAACAAAAATATAAATATGCGTTTAATCAATAGGTGTCAACTATATATTTTGGAATTGGAAATGAAATGAAATGGAATGGGGTTTAACGTCCTACTGTTCTGCTCCTAAACTGGGCTAATGAAGACGGGCATACACCATACAGTTTGCCATGAGGGAAATTTTGCCCAGGCAGCGGTGCTACAGCCTACTCTTATATCGAATTCCAACTGCCAAGGGATCTTTTGCATGCACGCCAATATGTACACGGGACCTCGATTTTTCGTCCCATCCGAACGACTAGACAGCTGTCCTTGTCAGGCCCTCCGTCCTGCATCACTGACAAGGGGAAACCACGCCAGAAAATCTAGATGTACTTTCTCGGCCAATGCAGGGATCGAACACCCGACCTCCAGGCTAGCGAGCCAGCGTCTTACCCACTTAGCCACGTGATCCCCTTTTTGGAATTGGAGACCAGGCCATTTCCTGAAACTAAATGTTGAAGTTTGAGACTTTTTTGCAGATTCGAAAAGGATATCCAGTCAAAAAAAACAAATAATAAAATAACAGATTATTTTTCTTTTTGTCAAATGATTTTATACATTAAATGATTTTCATATTCAGAAAATATAGAACATTTAAATGAGATTCAAATGTACATCACAACTTCTTTATATTTTATATTGGGTATAAGCTAAGTTACTATTTTTTCCTGAAAATGCCTCTATGCCTGATCATATAATCTTAGAATATTTTGTTTATAAAGAGAAGATTGTCTTCATGCTTTGCATGATTACACCCATGATTTTCAGCCTAGATTCCTAAAATATTTTGCCTAAAAAATCTATTTAATATGATTATCTACTTATTTGTAAAAATAATTGTTCAGAATATACTTGGAACCCCCCCCCAAAAAATTTTTTTTTACATAGTAGACCCTGACTCCTATTTATTTACAACAATTATTAGGGTTAGTTAAGATTCTATCTGTATAAAACCTGTACATATCCCAATATGGTTTACATTGCTAAAATAAAACACAGAGAGAATCATCCTTGAAACGCATGTAGGTACCCAAAAACATTTTCGCCTAAACCAAATATTTATCGCCCGCTCAGCCAGCCACGTAGCCATAATACTTTGCACGCGGTGGGTCAATCAGCAAACAGTTGTGTAGACAGCATGGCCACATGGTGTTTGTTTATATTTTTTAGGGGTTTTAAAATAGTGTTAGGGTTAGGGTTGAAGACCCCCCGACCCCCCAATATATATTTCACGGCTAAAAAATAAAAAGAACTAGCTGTAAAGAAACCAGTATGTTGATGAATATCTAATCAAGTTCCATTTACATGTACCTTTATCTAGTATGTATGTAATGGTAATGTACAGTTCCTGAGTATACTTTTCACATTTACCTTATTTGTGTACATGTATTTTTATTCTGTGTAGATAACCTGAACATTGAACACCAAGTACAGATCTAGATCTGATCTTGATGACTTAAAATCAAATGCAATTTATTTAAGCTTGGGTAGAAATGAAGGAAAGTGATGCTCATTTTTAAATTATTCAAAATACAATTTAAAAATTACTGATAACATATTTTACAAAATCATGAAAATGAGTGCTCTCTATCATGAGGTATTATCTCTACTAAAATATGTCTAATAATTTATAGTATAAAATAGGTTAGAGTAAAAAACAAATTGCATTTTGTGCACAAATTGAAAAATTGTGTCTGAGACAATAAAAAGTAAAATATGATAAACTAATTAATCTTTTTTTTTTTTAAACAATACAATTATGATTTTCGTTCTAAATATTATTTACATCTATTATTATACTAAAATACACAGCCATTTGCTTCTCTTGTGGTCTCCGTCCACATATATTTATAATATATATAAATTATTTCTAGTGAAAAATTATGAATAAATTCTTCTATGACAAAAAATACTTATATTATTCACCTATGGATACATGTTATTATGATCTACCCTTATATATATATAAATCTTATGATTTTTTTCCAATTTCACACAACCATAAATATACAAATTATTGATTATCATCATCATATTAAAAATAAAATAACTAAACTTATAATAATATATACAATTTGCGTTGTTGAATACTGTTAGTGGGACTAAAAAGTCTACAGGTTTTAGCAGAACTTGCCAAATATATTTAACAAAACCATGCCATGCTAATGTCATTCATCTTTTCACCAAAATTGAAAGGATTATATACAGAAATATCTTTGTATGAATCTCGTGAAATGGCACAGAACACAATGAAATTAACTTTTTACTATCAAGGTTAACTCTAAACCCTGCGAGGTCAAACAATAACATAACATTTTTTAAAGACCTGATATTCAGTCACATCAAATTTCAGATTATACAAATTTAATGTGAAAATTCCTCCCATCTGGGACAACTTTAGAGGTTAACGATGTTGTATTCTAATACATTTAAACATTTTACAAAAAAATAATATATTTTGTGAATTTATAAAAATTTACAGTGAATCCTTGTTACTTTAATATGCATAACAGCTCAAATTTGTAACATACATCCATACCTTTAAATAAATTAAAACGGGAAAAACAGAAAACAGCCACTAACAAATCAATTTGTTTTTTCTTTATCAATTTTTAAAAATAGTATATTTCCTTATAATCAAAATATTTTTTTTAGGTGTTTCACATAAACAGATCACATATACAATTTATAAAACAACAAACAAACACAGACCAAAAGAAACAATCTCATACATCTAAAAGTAATTTCTTTTACCATTCATATTAATATTGTTTTATGAAAATTTAAAAAAATATTTTGTAGTTTTCATTTTGTTTTCAGTGTTTAGTATCTAAATGTTCACTGTCTTATTTCTAATGTTTTCTTATACCTTATTTATATGATTTTAATTGTAATTTACCACTAGATTAGTTTAGGTAATTATATAAGATCTGATTTGAGAACAGATTAAGGATTGAGCAATAAATATTTCTTTGGTTACAGTATATAGAAATATCAACATGTTAAATGCTTATTAGAGATGGTTTGATATCATCTCATCATGAACAAAGTGTATTCTAAGGGTATGAAATTTAATCACAAAGACCAATAAATAATCTTATTTAAACATGCATTAAAGGGAACCATATATATAGATATGCATAATTCAAGCACTCTTCTAAAAAGTTATATTGTTGTCAGTAGCACTGGAAAAAAACACCATTAAAAATCATGAATCACTTCAAAATACTCAAAATTGAAGTTACACTTAACAAATTTTATATCAAAACATGGTAATAATAGAAGTGTTTTCCTATGACATAACAACGAGAATAGCTGAAAGGGATTTGAATCTATAAATCACTGAATATGATTTTGAGAATTATGTCGTCACCTGGAAACAACTGTTCTTTTTATGCCCACATAGATCTTGCAGCATGAAGTTATCACACAAACTTTATTATAGCATTAACACCCATCCAATGTCTTCTAGCTGTCCACAACTGTACATATAGAACATGATTCATTTTTAATCACTAACAGCACTGTGTAACTAAATACATCAGAGTCATTTTTTTTTTTAAAGTTTCAAGCTCCTTTAAAGAATCACTATTTGTCTATGTGTGATGTCTGTATTATGTTAAATAAACTTTCAGCAAGCACATACATACATAATAGTCATATATAAGACTTCTGTCAATTATTGGGAACACCGTAACACAGAAGTATATATCATGAAATTATATATCAGTATTATCTATCTACTAAACACTGAGCTTTGTTTGATTATTGTTAGTAATACCATTTTGTTTCGACTTATCATTTGTTCCTTCTTTTTTCTTTTTTTCCTCATCTAATGCTTTTTGCATGTCTGTATAGTACTGAAGTGCTGTTCTTACTGGTTTTATAATGTCATTCTGAAATATTAAAATAATATGTATGTACAGCCAACAATGAGACTGATATCCCCCACCTCAATGACAAAATTAAAAGATGACACATTAAATAATTTACATTTATCTTTTTGCAACACATCGAACAAGCAAACTTGGCTTGAGCAGAAAATGCTCATGATTGAACTTAGTCATTTTTTTATATAGTGAAACTATACACCACGTTCCATCACAATCACTCAATTAGAATAAAAGTTATAGTGTCCCAAAGCATCAACCAATAATATTGCTTATTTCTGCTTAGCCTGAGCAGAAAATGCTTATCATAAAACTCGGTTAAGACATCAACCTTATGAACATCTGCACATTTGTACCTCAAATAGAAGTAGATTTATTGTGATCTAAAAAAACAGTGGGCTCAGTGGGTGGTGGACTGTTGGCAGAGAAAGTTCCAGTGTGGTCCTTGTCCACGGTGCAGGGCGGAGAGCCTGGCAAGAAACAGTGTCTAGTCATTTGGATGGGACAAAAAAACTGAGCAAAAATGCTCATTATCGTACTTAGTCAAGGTATTGATATAATGAAAATATATACTAAAATATATTCAATTAGAAACAAAGGTATGGAGTCAAAAAGCATCAGCCAGTCAAATTTCTTAGCTCCACATCAAGGCATTCTACTAATAAACATTATCAAGGCATTCTACTAATAAACATTTACACCAAGTGGACCATTCTAGCTCAATTAGAATCAGACAGGCGGGCGGATAAACCTAGTTTAATAATCCACCCTTTGAAAAAAATTCTTCAATGGAGGAATTGCTAATTAGCAAAAAGGCACAACTATTATAATATACTATTCAAAAAAAGTAGGGGATATTTGATTTTGGGGGCATAATACTAAAATATGCAAATGACTACGAAAAAAGTCACTATAGAACCTAACAGAAGAAACATTTCCAGTTACATGTGACGCCCAAACGCACCAATAGCTACCGCATGGAATGCAGGTGATGCTTGGGATCATCATGGGGGTCCAACCCAAGATTTGCACGACTCTGACTTTGAATGTTACAGTCATTGTGGCATTGAATTCCAGGGTGGAAACATCAGTTTAATTGTTTTAGTGACCAGAAAACAAATTTTGATATGCGTCGGCTTACCCAAAATGAAAGGTTACGTGCCCTTGGCATGCTACAGATCGGCACAACACAGGCGGTTGTGGCGCGGACGATGAATGTTTCTCAGTCTGTCATAAGCAGGCTATGGTCCAGATACCGTGATACACAATCTGTACAGGACAGACCACGCTCAGGGCGACAACTCAAGCCCAGGATCGATTTATCCGTACCTTGGCCTTGAGAAATCGTGTCATCACAGCAAATCAGATCAGCGCTCGTCTTCAAGCAGACACTGGTGTGAGAGTGAGTGGCCAGACGTTTCGGAATCGACTGCATAGGGGTCACCTTCGCGCCCGACGTCCTCGCGTGATCCCTTGTTTGAGAGATCATCACATTCAGGCAAGACGTCGTTGGTGTAGGGATCGTCAACACTGGGATAATCGACGCTGGAGCAATGTGATGTTTTCAGATGAGTCAAGGTTCACTGTTGATTTTTTGGACAGGCGTAGGAGGGTGTGGCGTCGTCGAAACGAGCGCTTCCAAGACGTTAACTTCATCAGACATGATCGATTTGGGGGTGGTTCTATTATGGTGTGGGGAGGCATCACTGTTGCTGGAAGAACGGCTTTACATGTTGTTGCAGGGCGTGTTACAGGCCAGTACTACCGGGACAACATCTTGGCAGTCCATGTTGTGCCATTCGCACGACGTCATGGCCGCCGTTTCATCTTTCAGGATGACAACGCAAGATGTCACAGGGCCAGGATCGTTACAGGTTACCTCCAACAACAGAACATCACCACATTACCTTGGCCAGCACTGAGTCCCGACCTCTCCCCATCGAGCATGTCTGGGACATGCTTGGACAGAGGTTACGTCAACGTCAACAACGTCCTGCCAATGTCCAAGAACTTGCTGCTGAGTTGCAACAGGAATGGGACAATCTGGACCAAAATGACCTTAGACGTCTCATTAGGAGTATGCCACGTCGGATCAATGCTTGTTTGGCAAACAGAGGAGGATTTACCCGTTACTGACTTGGTTGTGATGCTGTGGTAACTTTGCTGTTTGACCCCGGGTATCATTTTACCCTTATAATGGTCAGTCTGTGCCTTACTTAGTCTAACGATCATTTTGAATAAATCGATGAATGTGAACTTCATTTCATTTTGTCATTTGTTTCTTCTTCAGTTTCATTAGGTGACTTTAATAACACTTAAAAATCAAATATCCCCTACTTTTTTGAATAGTATATTTTGATGTGGGTAAAAAGTTACATAAAGGTACTGTATCTTGAACAGTTTATGAGATATACTCTGGAAAGAAAATCAGTAAGGAAGGATGTGTGAATGGAAAGACAGACAGACAGCCAACAGGTGCCTCCTGAATTCTGTGCAGGATACGGTAATAAAAGATCTATAACAATTACCTCTACTATAGGGAACAGTTGTCCTAGTGTTTCAAACAATGGCAGTAAAACAAACTTTATAAAACCTATCTGTGATGTAGGTTTAGTCACTTTATCACGATCCATGAATGGTGCTACTGGTAACCCTTCTAACTTCTCTAAGTCACTCTGTTCAAAACATAATTATACATTCAATTAGAAACACATTATCTTAAATTAAAATGGTATATTCCTATCATTCCACCATTAATTAACAGATTATCTTTATTAACAGATATTTGATATAATATTACTATAAATTAATGATTTAATTTTTAATCTTTTTTAATCACCAATAATATATCAACACCAGGAAGATTACACAGATCAAATTGCTTTTAGTTTAGAGTATAATATAATATGATCATTGGGTTATTCTCTGCTTCCCATTAATGTACCAATGTTTTTGCACTGACATACCAACGGTTGCCAAACAGGATACGCCCATATTTTGCAAGAGATGGATAGAGAACAAGTTAAAAAAAAAAAGTAATTTTTTGTACAATCGGGTTGACCGTCATTTGGGTGTAACGATGATACATTTAAACGTTCTTTTTAAAATCAAATACAAATTGTGACCTCTAGAGGAACCACAAGCTAAAAACGTGATTTTTCATACAATCAGGGGCCATTATTAAGGAAGTTGTGATCCGATAAGCGCAAATAACGAAAGGAACCAAGATCTTTGGGTTATAAACATGCATTTCAAGTTTCATCAAAACCAGATAAAAATCCTGACCTCTAGTGTGTCTACAAGCTAAAAACATGATTTTTCGTACAATCAGGAGCATAATCCATGAAGTTTCGATCCGATACATGGGTTTCGTCAAAATCGGATAAGAATTGTGACCTGTAGAATGCCACAAACAATTCTGGACAGACAGTAGAGACGACAATATACGTCCACATGAAAATGTGGGCGTATAAAAGCCAAACAACATTGAACAGACATGCAAGGAAAGATAGGTTATCAGGGAAAAAATATATGCCCATAGAAACTAAGTGGTTCAAGCAGTCCATGAAAGTTTATTATATCCTGAACCTTTAGATTAACAAAAGGCCATAATCACCATTGGTTAAGAGTAGACTATATATGTCATGTACGGTCCATGGACTGGTAATAAAAATCCTTTAATCATTCCAATCTTCTTTAATAGATTAAGATAATAATGATTAATCAGGCAAAACCTTGATAAAACCTGCTGACTAGATGACAATGATATATTAATTTACAAAGATCAGATAAGGTTCAATAGGGGTCTTTAGCAGTGGGAGGAAACCGGAGGACCTGGAGAAAACCCACGAGGTTGGACAGGTGCCCCAATTCCTTGTCACGTACAAGTGGGGAATCGAAACCAGGCCACTTGACTCTATGACAGACCTGATCAAACCCGCACATGTTAACCATTCGGCCACCCAACCTCCCTAGATATTGTCAATGGACAGGGATGACAGCAATATACAAATGTATATATTCTTAAACACAATCTTTTCAAAGATATTGTAACTGTTGAATAATGGTGTTAGGGCAGAAATAATCCCAGTTTTTGTTTTAATTCATCTTTTTATTTCTGTCTCTAAATTCTATATCTTCTACCTGATTAAAAAATTCTTGAAGTAAACATTCTAGCCATGGTTCGGCTACTTCCATTGGACGTACTTCGTTTGATATATCAGCTACTTTGATTAAAATCATCAGAAACTAACATATAAAAAAATATAAACAAAAGAAAAAATATAAGAAAAGATATAAAAATACCTAGATAAAGAAGCACATTACAATGGTACATCATGCATGAATTACAAAATATCAATGACATCACAAATATGAGCACATTACCAATTAATGGTATTATCAAACTGTCTTCACCATCAAATTTTGAAGTATCATCAATTGAAATCGTTATAAGCTAACCGGGCCTTTTATTATTGAAATTTGGGGCTTCATTTCATATATATATATATATATTTTGCAGAATTTATCAGTACATATTTTGGATGAAAAATCTCTATTCCCTGTTATAAATTTTCGTGTTGGTATTTGTCATGGTAGAGTTCAGGGATGCATATCATAAGCCAACAATACAGATTTGCCTCTATCAAAAATAATAGCAACAACAATGGGGACTGGTCTGTCATTGTATCTCTATTAATTAAAGCTGCTCGTCATTTATATATTAGGGAAAATATGATATATTCCGTTATTCAACACTAAATTGTACACAAATTGATTATTTAACATTTGATTAAGAAAAGGGATCCACCCATAAAAGCTCAGCAAAATTAATTATAGTATCAGCTTGTCTACAAGAGTTATAGACAAAACTGCTTTCAGTCAAAATGGATAACAAATTTGGTCTAATCCGAGGCAATTTTTAGTCAAAACAACAATAGATTGATCATAACAGCCATAAAAAATTAAAACGATCAATTAAATATTTAGACTGATAGTGGGGCAGTTAAGCAAAAAATTGTGCACTTTGGGTTAAAAGCATGAAACTTGGCACATAGATGGCATCAACCCTACTGATTATTTTGGGATGTGGATCCACCCCAGCAGCTCCCCCTGGAGGTCGTTACGGCCATCTTTTCCAAAATGGCCGCCTATTCATTGAAATACATATAACTAGGTGTGTCACAATAAGACATTTTTTTACAAATCATTTCAGACCAGCAATTTCCAGAGGCAAAATTGCTAGCTGAACATGATTTTTGAAAAAAAGATTTATCTATGATGTCATTTTCGGTTGGGGTTTGTCTGATTTCAAAAATGGCCGCCAAAATTTGAAGTAAAATGAATTTCCAGATATGATAGGTGATTATCACGCAAGGTATGGCTTGTAATATATCAAATATAAGGTTTTTGTTGTAATTGAACTGAAAAAAAATCTCTAAAGCTAGTTTCCCCAAATCCAAAATGGCGGCCAAAATATACCCAAAATGGCCGATTGGTCAGATTAAAGTCATTTCACTGTTTGATTAGGTTTGTAATATATAATTTAAAGGGTTTACAGTGTCACTGAACTTAAAATTAATCTAAAGAAAAAAATAGTTTCCAAAATCCAAGATGGCGGAAATTCAAAATGGCAGCCAACATTTATCTTAAATGGCCGATTTGTCAGATAAAAGTCATTTCACTCTTTGATATGGTTTGTAATATGTAATATAAAGGGTTTTCAAAGTCATTGAACTTAAAATCAACCTAAAAAAAAAAAGGTTTCCAATATCCATTATGGCAGAAATTCAAAATGGCGGCCAGAATTTCCCTAAAAACATCAAATTTTAAGATAATCGTCAATTTTCTGTTTGATGTGGCTTGTAATATGTCCTCTATTAAGTTTTCAGAGTCACTTAATTTGATAATTATAGATGATTATTTCAGAAAAAAGGGACAATCATCAATCTTTCTATAGGATTGGTTTATAATAGCAAAGTGTAATAGTTGTTTGAGGGCAACTGAAATTGACCGGACTCAGGAATCTACCTGTCAACTTACCAGTAAGCTAATTAGAATTTCAAAGAATTTAACCTTAAGACACAATAAATGTAGTTTAATTGTTTTATGCCTAAAAACATATGATGCTAATGATAATGTTAAGAATTGACACATTTTTTGGAGAAAATATCTGGTTATTCCGACCCTCCACCCCCACCCCATAACAATACAATGGGGCCACCTGAGGCATTTTTAATTTCATCTCCTTTGTCTTTGCACCATTTTACCGGAGTGAGAATCATTTTTGGTATATGCAGTTAAGAATTTAAGTTCTCCTATTCGTTCAGAAATAGTGATGTGATCTGTTTTTGCATCGAAGACACTGTGTCCAGTAAGGTTTGTGGTAGAGTCTAGATGTCGTATCCACAGGTCATTTTCGTCAGTGACGTATTTCACAACAAGTTCTACATGTAAGAACAACACATTAGAAAAGTGTAAATCGTCAGGCATGACTTTTGGGATACCTATACTAGTCCTAAATGCATTTCAAATCATTTTTGTGATGATTATTTTTAAACTTAGAAATTGGTGTGCAATACATTACAGACGAAAATAATCTGTGGATACCATATTTAGACTATACCACAAAAGTTGCTGGACATAGAGACTTTGATGATTCATTTTACACTTTTTAATTTGTGAAATACATGATTGACAAATATGAAAATATGAATCCATATGTCTAGATCATACCACAAACGGTTTCCGGACATAAGTCTTCTGAACCAGAAATGATGCAATGGGGTTTAATGTCCTACTGCTCTGTACTAACAAAGTTAATAAATATTGTTATTTGTCAAGCAGTGTGCTATGAGGAAAATTGGTCCAGACAGTGGTGCTATGGCCTACTCTTATTTCGAATTCCAACTGTTAGGGTTCTTTTATGTGCACGTCAACATGTACATATAAACCTTGTTTCTTGAGAAGACCCCGTGCTGCATCCTGGAAAATCCTGAAGTACTTTCTCAGCAAACAAAGGGATCGAACCCCTGACCTCGTTCTTGGCGAGTCTTACTCTTACCATTGCTTCGAACCATTTCTGAATAAACAATAGGTGAATTCGTAACAACTGGATATATGTCCCACTGTTTTGCTGGAATAATATGAAACCTTGTTTGTGTAAGATCCAGTCTAACAATTCCAGTTACCATCAAAATAACCACTACTCCTTGCTATTACAAGCCAATCCAAGAGGAAAATTCACAATCATCTACCATCTTCAAAATTAATTTTTGATGTAATATTCATTTTCAAAATTAATTTTTGAGGTAATATTCATTTTCAAAATTCATTTCTGAGGTTATTTTCAAGTTCATTGACTTTGAAAACCTAATAAAGGACATTATTACAAGCCATACAAAACCGAAAAAATGACAATTATCTGAAAAATCTTTCATTTCAGGGAAATTCTAGCCGCCATTTTGGATTTTCAACCATCTTGGATTTTTGAAACTCTTCTTTTGAGGTTGTATTTAAGTTCAGTTACACAGAAAACCCTTTAAATCGCATATCACTAGCCATATCAAACTTAAAAATGACGATTATTTGAAAAATCAACCATTTTAGGGAAATTCTGGTCGCCATTTTGAATTTCCGCCATCTTGGATTTTGGAAACTCTATATATTTAGATTAATTTTAAGTTCAGTGACACTGAAAACACTTTAAATTACATATTATAAACCATATCAAAGAGTGAAATGAGCTTGAAAATTTATTTCCAATATTTATTTATTTTTAAGTTTAAACAAAATATGTGTTTAATTCATTTTGAATGTGCTGTTAGATGTAATTGATTATATCTTATGTTTTTGTGCCCGCTGGCTTGGTTGACCTTCGAGCAATACATTAAGACACCTAGGTCATGGTTCTACACTGTATACTTCTAAAGATATATATGTATTTCAATAAATTGGCGGCCATTTTGAGAAAAATCGCCATAACGACCACCAGGGGGAGCTGCTGGGGTGGATCCACATCCCAAAATATTCAGTAGGGTTGATGCCATCTATGTGCCAAGTTTCATGCTTTTAACCCAAAATGCACGATTCTACCAAAAAGTCTTCCTTAACCGCCCCACTATGACGTTTTCGTTCGTTTAACATGGGTGAATTTTTGCTGTTTTGATCATATACATTGAACATTGTTGGACTGTTTTTCTTTTAGAGATAAAACTTGTACAATATTGTAGTTTACAATAGATTAACAATACTTCAAATGAAATTGAGAGACTTAAATTAGTGAATAACATTTAATGTTTATGTTGAATTTCAATAGAATATATTTCCTATCATTTGAACCACAGATAAAAAAACCATTAATAAACAAATGTGCGTAAGTGACAACACTAAGGTATATATATGAGTAATTATAGATATATATGACAACATCGGGGTAACAAAAGAAAGCACTTTACAAATAAAAGATCTGAAAAGTTACCATGCACAGCAACACTTGGATATGACAAACCTGATTAAAGAATTCCTGTAGAAGGCAGTCTACCCAAGGTGCTGCTACATCTAAAGGACGGGCCTCGTTAGATATATCAGAAACTTTCATGAGAATCATTTCCAACTATGCAGCATACCAGAAAGAGGATTATATTAATAAAAATATTCCTATGATAGTAATTACATGTTTACGTCTTTACATTCTGCTTTTGGTCATGGATGTTCAACGAAAAAAGACAAGAACTTGTCAAGCATCTGCCCACCACCTACCAAGTCATCTTTGCTACCTCTTAAATCATTGTCAACGAATCCCAAAAAAGAGCAAGTTTTGAATTTTTGAAGCTCTAAAAGTAAAGATAGGTTACCAGGTAACAAAACATGCCCACAGCAGCTAAATCGTCCGAGTGGTCGACATGTGTTGTCACATAATTATCTTTTGTAGGTAATTGAGAGCAATTTTATACAGATCAGATTATAATTTTTGTCGTTTGAGGGTTCGCAAGGTTCTACAAACTGAAACAAGGGCCTTAACTCTTGGAAGTAATTTACAGAAATGTTTTAAATTTGACAGGTTTTTTTCGTTGTACTAATTCAAATAATGCATATAAATTTCATACAGATCGGATGACAACTTTTCATACATAAAGTGAAACAAACGCCATAACTCCAGAAGAAATTAACGGAAATTATTGAAATTAAAGAGGCTTCTTCATCTCAGTAATGTTAACAACATATATCAATTTCAAAATTGATAAATGTTGTCTGTAGAGGGTTTACAAGAAAGTGTGTTTGACAGATGGACAGACAGGGGCGACGGCAATATACGAACACATTTCCACGTGGGCGTATAAAAAGTAAACCTATTTGTGACTAGAACCATCCAAAAGTTTTGAAATTTGACAGGGTTCTTTTTAAAGATACTATCAAATATTATTTCCTGTATCATGTTAACAAGAATAAATGTATCTGCATAAAAAAACTGCAGTTTGCTAATGAGAAGTTTGAATTTCAATGGGTTTCTTCCATTGATCAAACAAACAATCCCTGAAATTTCCAACAAGTTGGATGAACAGATGATTTAATGAAAATATATCCACATTATAAAAGGTCTGATTGAAATATGATGTATGATTTATGATATTTCAAAACATAATGTAACATACCACTGAGCGTTGTTCCTTGTCCTGAGGATTAAAGTTAGGTAAAACACCTTTAAATGAATGCAATATTTCATTATGTTTTGCCATATCTGTGGCCAAAATGCACCTGAAAAGAATTTCATGGAATAACCAGCAGCTGCCCACATTTTGCAAGAGATGGATAGAGAAGAAGCTAAAAACAAACGTGATTTTTTGTACATTCAGGGGCAATAATCCAGAAAGTTATGGCCTGAAATGTGAAAATATCAAAAGGGATAGAAATCTTTGGGATATAAAGATATGTTTTAAGTTTTATCAAAATCAGATAAAAATTGTAACCTCTAGAGGGTCCACAGCCTTCGTATTACACACTTCTACCATTTTGTCGGGCAGTTTCATTTCAATTTTCACGAAATACGAATTCAACCTTCATTAGGTGGAATGGTGATGTGTTTAAACATTTTTTAAAATCGGAAAAAAAATGTGACCTTCAGAGAATCTGCAAGCTAAAAATGCGATTTTTCGAACAATCAGGGGCCATAATCCAGGAAGTTAAGTTTGGGTATCCACGATTATCAAAAGGAACCAAGATCTTAGTGTGTAATGGTGATATATTCAACCGATTTTTTAAATCGGATAAAAATTGTGACCTATATGGGGTCCACAAGCTAAAAACGCGATTTTTCTGTACAATCAGGGGTCTTAATTCAGGAAGTTACGATTAGATATGCGCGAATATCAAAATTAACCGAGATCTGTGGGTTATAAACATGCATTTAAAGTTTCATCAAAATTAGATGAATATTGTGACCTCCAGGGGGTCCACAACCCTGATACAAAATATTTTGACACTATTTGCGAACGAGGGGCGGCCATTTTGTCAGTTTCGGTCCGATTTTTATGAAATTTGAATTCAACCATCCTTAGGGTGTAACAGTGATATATTGTAATGTTTTTTTAAATCGGATAAAAATTGTGACCTCTATGGGGTCCACAAGCTAAAATCACGATTTTTCGTACAATCAGGGACCATAATTCAGGAAGTTATGGTCCGATATCTGTGAATATCGAAAGTAACCGAGATCTGTGGTTTATAAACATGCATTTCATGTTTCATCAAAATGAGATGAAAATTGTGACCTCCAGAGGATCCACAACCCTAATACACAATATTAGCGAACGAGAGGCGGCCATTTCGTCCGTCAGTTTCGGTCCGATTTTTCCGAAATTTGAACTCAACCATCCTTAGGGTGTAACGGTGACATATTGTAACGTTTTTTTAAATTGGATAAAAATTGTGACCTATATGGGGTCCACAAGCTAAAAACGCGATTTTTCTGTACAATCAGGGGTCTTAATTCAGGAAGTTACGATTAGATATGCGCGAATATCAAAATTAACCGAGATCTGTGGGTATAAACATGCATTTAAAGTTTCATCAAAATTAGATGAATATTGTGACCTCCAGGGGATCCACAACCCTGATACAAAATATTTTGACACTATTTGCGAACGAGGGGCGGCCATTTTGTCAGTTTCGGTCCGATTTTTATGAAATTTGAATTCAACCATCCTTAGGGTGTAACAGTGATATATTGTAATGTTTTTTTAAATCGGATAAAAATTGTGACCTCTATGGGGTCCACAAGCTAAAATCGCGATTTTTCGTACAATCAGGGACCATAATTCAGGAAGTTATGGTCCGATATCTGTGAATATCGAAAGTAACCGAGATCTGTGGTTTATAAACATGCATTTCATGTTTCATCAAAATGAGATGAAAATTGTGACCTCCAGAGGATCCACAACCCTAATACACAATATTAGCGAACGAGAGGCGGCCATTTCGTCCGTCAGTTTCGGTCCGATTTTTCCAAAATTTGAACTCAACCATCCTTAGGGTGTAACGGTGACATATTGTAACGTTTTTTTAAATTGGATAAAAATTGTGACCTATATGGGGTCCACAAGCTAAAAACGCGATTTTTCTGTACAATCAGGGGTCTTAATTCAGGAAGTTACGATTAGATATGCGCGAATATCAACATTAACCGAGATCTGTGGGTTATAAACATGCATTTAAAGTTTCATCAAAATTAGATGAATATTGTGACCTCCAGGGGGTCCACAACCCTGATACAAAATATTTTGACACTATTTGCGAATGAGGGGCGGCCATTTTGTCAGTTTCGGTCCGATTTTTATGAAATTTGAATTCAACCATCCTTAGGGTGTAACAGTGATATATTGTAATGTTTTTTTAAATCGGATAAAAATTGTGACCTCTATGGGGTCCACAAGCTAAAATCGCGATTTTTCGTACAATCAGGGACCATAATTCAGGAAGTTATGGTCCGATATCTGTGAATATCGAAAGTAACCGAGATCTGTGGTTTATAAACATGCATTTCATGTTTCATCAAAATGAGATGAAAATTGTGACCTCCAGAGGATCCACAACCCTAATACACAATATTAGCGAACGAGAGGCGGCCATTTCGTCCGTCAGTTTCGGTCCGATTTTTCCGAAATTTGAACTCAACCATCCTTAGGGTGTAACGGTGACATATTGTAACGTTTTTTTAAATTGGATAAAAATTGTGACCTATATGGGGTCCACAAGCTAAAAACGCGATTTTTCTGTACAATCAGGGGTCTTAATTCAGGAAGTTACGATTAGATATGCGCGAATATCAAAATTAACCGAGATCTGTGGGTTATAAACATGCATTTAAAGTTTCATCAAAATTAGATGAATATTGTGACCTCCAGGGGGTCCACAACCCTGATACAAAATATTTTGACACTATTTGCGAACGAGGGGCGGCCATTTTGTCAGTTTCGGTCCGATTTTTATGAAATTTGAATTCAACCATCCTTAGGGTGTAACAGTGATATATTGTAATGTTTTTTTAAATCGGATAAAAATTGTGACCTCTATGGGGTCCACAAGCTAAAATCGCGATTTTTCGTACAATCAGGGACCATAATTCAGGAAGTTATGGTCCGATATCTGTGAATATCGAAAGTAACCGAGATCTGTGGTTTATAAACATGCATTTCATGTTTCATCAAAATGAGATGAAAATTGTGACCTCCAGAGGATCCACAACCCTAATACACAATATTAGCGAACGAGAGGCGGCCATTTCGTCCGTCAGTTTCGGTCCGATTTTTCCGAAATTTGAACTCAACCATCCTTAGGGTGTAACGGTGACATATTGTAACGTTTTTTTAAATTGGATAAAAATTGTGACCTATATGGGGTCCACAAGCTAAAAACGCGATTTTTCTGTACAATCAGGGGTCTTAATTCAGGAAGTTACGATTAGATATGCGCGAATATCAAAATTAACCGAGATCTGTGGGTTATAAACATGCATTTAAAGTTTCATCAAAATTAGATGAATATTGTGACCTTCAGGGGGTCCACAACCCTGATACAAAATATTTTGACACTATTTGCGAACGAGGGGCGGCCATTTTGTCAGTTTCGGTCCGATTTTTATGAAATTTGAATTCAACCATCCTTAGGGTGTAACAGTGATATATTGTAATGTTTTTTTAAATCGGATAAAAATTGTGACCTCTATGGGGTCCACAAGCTAAAATCGCGATTTTTCTTACAATCAGGGACCATAATTCAGGAAGTTATGGTCCGATATCTGTGAATATCGAAAGTAACCGAGATCTGTGGTTTATAAACATGCATTTCATGTTTCATCAAAATGAGATGAAAATTGTGACCTCCAGAGGATCCACAACCCTAATACACAATATTAGCGAACGAGAGGCGGCCATTTCGTCCGTCAGTTTCGGTCCGATTTTTCCGAAATTTGAACTCAACCATCCTTAGGGTGTAACGGTGACATATTGTAACGTTTTTTTAAATTGGATAAAAATTGTGACCTATATGGGGTCCACAAGCTAAAAACGCGATTTTTCTGTACAATCAGGGGTCTTAATTCAGGAAGTTACAATTAGATATGCGCGAATATCAAAATTAACCGAGATCTGTGGGTTATAAACATGCATTTAAAGTTTCATCAAAATTAGATGAATATTGTGACCTCCAGGGGGTCCACAACCCTGATACAAAATATTTTGACACTATTTGCGAACGAGGGGCGGCCATTTTGTCAGTTTCGGTCCGATTTTTATGAAATTTGAATTCAACCATCCTTAGGGTGTAACAGTGATATATTGTAATGTTTTTTTAAATCGGATAAAAATTGTGACCTCTATGGGGTCCACAAGCTAAAATCGCGATTTTTCGTACAATCAGGGACCATAATTCAGGAAGTTATGGTCCGATATCTGTGAATATCGAAAGTAACCGAGATCTGTGGTTTATAAACATGCATTTCATGTTTCATCAAAATGAGATGAAAATTGTGACCTCCAGAGGATCCACAACCCTAATACACAATATTAGCGAACGAGAGGCAGCCATTTCGTCCGTCAGTTTCGGTCCGATTTTTCCGAAATTTGAACTCAACCATCCTTAGGGTGTAACGGTGACATATTGTAACGTTTTTTTAAAATTGGATAAAAATTGTGACCTCTATGGGGTCCACAAACTAAAAACGCGATTTTTTGTACAATCAGGGGCCATAATTCAGGAAGTTATGGTCCGATATGCGCAAATATCGAAAGTAACCGAGATCTGTGGATTATAAACATACATTTCAAGTTTAAACCAAATCGGATAAAAATTGTGACTTTACAGTGTTCACAAGCTAAAAACGCGATTTTTCGTACAATCAGGGGCCATAATCCATGAAGTTACAGTCCGATACATGCCAATATCTAAAGGAACCGAGATCTTAGGGTGATAAACCTATATTTCAAGTTTTATTGAAATCGGATAAATATTGTGACCTGTAGACTGTTCACAAACAATTGTGGACGGACAGACAGACAGGGGAGACGACAATATACGTCTACATGAAAATGTGGGCGTATAAAAAGTTTTGTTCTGAAAAACCAAAAGAGTATCAAAACCATTTCAATTGCTTACATCAGAAAGCAAATATAACATACAATAATCAATTTTAGTTATAGTTTTAGCATTAAACAACTAAGTGTTGGATGCCAATGTCAAGCCCAAAAAGATGAACTAAGTTTTTATAACATTAGATTACTGATTAACCCAACACTCTTCCTGTTTGTGCGTCTAGAGTTTTTTCCATTAAAGGCAATAACTCAATCCCCAAAATTCTAAAACATTTAATACAATGGGCATATCTTTATGACCTAACACAGCAAAGCAAGTAAACGTCTGCAATTGTCAATGAATTCAATCACAAACTTCTTACTGTTGATGACTGATTGTGAGCTGTCTTCATTAGCTCAGTTGGTGCAGAAAAGTTGGATGTTAAACACCATTTCATTTCTGATTGGTGGGGATGAGTATCATATACAATGACTTATAGAGTGGAGGTATAACAATCACTTTCATCCTTTACAAATTTGTAAACTAATTTTGTTCAATATTGTGTAATTCCATATTTCAAATGAGAATTTTATCTTTACAATGTCATTTCAGTCTATTCTAAACAAAAGCCAACGGGGAAATAACACCAATTCATATATTTTCCCCAGCAATTTTTCTGAGAAAAAAAAATAGAATGACAAATCCAAACTACCTAGCCACTGGTTTGTAATCATTTACCTGATCATACCCTCTCTAACTCGTTTAAATTGATCTAATGTAAGATTACGGAAAATGTTACAGTGTTTCTTCTCTAAAATTTCAAAAGCTACTGAACAATGGTGATTTTCTAATGGTGATATGTCATTATATCTTAAGGCGAGATCTGTTCGAGCATTTATCTGAAACAATAATAATTCATATGATATATTTTTATGCTTCAAGAAGTGAATTATATGGCATAATGACAGTTAAGGAGTCCCAGTAGTAACAGAGGGGATAGCCATGTGACATCACAAGCACTAGACAATGTGCACCCGATATACATATTTATTCTGAACAACAGTACACAAGAATAAAATGTATCATTGATCCTAAAGGGTATTCAAATTCAATGTCTTTAAATACAAAGTGACAAGTAGTGTAAAAGTATATTAATATTTTTGGGGAAAGGGGCCAAGTAACTGCCATCAGGAGTTTTAAAAAAGAGTATACTGTCGATGCCTCTGTCTTGTTTATGGTGAATTGCTTTAGGTCATTGGCAAAATTGATTTTGGTTAGGGCGACATTGGCTATATACATTGAGTGAATATTATCTCAATTATGCATTGAATTTGATGAATTTTTTCTGTGCATTAAAATACATGACCTTCATGAAATTCAAGCTCTTCATTTATTTACTTTATTAAAACAATAATGTAAAATTAAGTAATATTTCATTTACAACATCTACCTGATAAGCATTATTGTAGCCAGGATGATCAAGATCATGACAAATAGCTGAGGTAATTAAAATAAGAACATCCAGATCATCTAATATCGATGGCAGATCAATTAACCAAGTTAGACCATACATCTATAAATACAGATATACATTGCAATAAACAATAAGTTACTTTACTGTCCACAGGTGGAAACAAAGTGATATCCTACAAGAGCAACATGTTCATAAAACCTTTTTTGCTGAAAAAAATATTGAAATAATTTGGCAACCCATTCCAAAAATTTATTCTATAACTACATGCAAATACAAGCAAATGTCATTGAATACAGCAATTGAATAACCTATGGTTGTATTCAATTGCTTGGACACATACTACTTTTGTCCAGAATGATGTCATTTCCAGAATTACGTTAAACTGCACTGACGTCACCATTAGGCAACCACAATTTTTGTAAAAAAGAAAGAAAAAAGGGCGGAATCTATGATGAATTTTGACGTTATTGGTGATGATTTTTGGTTTTTGATAATCTGGATAGAACAATGTATTTTGAGATTTGTATGTAGTTATAGAATAGAAAACAGAACTCAATGACCATTGAATACCACTCGGGTTATTCAATGGTTCAAGAGGGTGTATCTCTTTGCAAGTATTCCGCGAGTTCTATCTATCTATTTATCTATCTAGTGTAGAATGTCAACTACAGCCATGAACAGCTTCGTTTCTCAAGTTTCTAACAGAAACAAAAGCTGCTATTAAATCCTATCAATCATTAGGCCTACACAATAAGAATGTTCAAATTACTCAATGACTGACTACAAAAGCCATTTTCAATGGTAGACTATTGTGTTCCGGCTGTCTCGAAGTTCACTAGATGTTTGTGGGATTTTGCAAGACCAACAAATGACAGCACACTTTATATGCAATAAACCAACATGCTAGGCTGCAAAGATTGGTGAAAGTGGTTTTCCAAATAAAAGACATCAATAATCGAGTTACGTCCCATTAAATGACCATATATTATGTACCCATCTAAAAATTGTGGGATTTCACATAACCGAAGGTGAATAGGCATACCCGTCCAGTTAATACAACGGACAATCTCACATCGGCCCAGAAAAGATAGACACATACTAGTCGCCTCCTATTTTCAATTTCCAAGGCATTTTAGTCCAAACCTTGACTCTCTTACAAATAAACCACTTGGTACTATTTCGTACCTATATCATATTAAACCCCTTGGGCGCCATGTTGAATTACACAGTATTTAACGTTCTAAAACCTAACTACTTTAGCAAAAACATTACATTCTGTTTTGCAACAAAAATACTAGATTCTGTTTTGTAACAAATATAGGTAGCCAGGCAAGAAAACATACCCCCACAACAGCTAAGTCGTTCGGGCAGTCAACAAGTGTTGTCATATATTTTTTCTTTTGTCAGTAATGAGAACATTTACAACACATGAAAATCTGATTATGAGTAATAACCCATGAAGTAATTATGAGAAAACATTAGAATTTGTTTCGATTGCTTGTCTCATGAATGAAATGGAGTTTTAGCCTCCAGAGCGTCCACAAGATTTTTCAAAGTGATCAAGGTCCTAAACTCTGGCAGTAATTATCAGAAATCGTTGAAAATAAATAGGATTGATTCTATGTCTCATAAAGTCAATCAGATATTAACTATAGCATCAAGAGCTTCTACAAAATTTTCTAAAGAGGTCAAGGGCAAAAACTCTGGCAGTAATTACCGGATTTAGTTAAGAATCAATAGAATTCTTTGTCTCATGAATTTAAACAGTGCGTATAAATTTAAAGTCAATCAGATATTAACTGTAGCCTCTAGAGTGTCCACATAAGGTATATCAAAGTGATCAAGAGCCATAACTCTGACAGTAATTATTGGAAATCTTTGAAAATCAATAGGTTTCTGCATCTCACTGTGTACAAATTTAAATAATCTTTCAGAGGCATTTAGTAACTGTATAGAGCAATACACAAAAACACATACTTATGGAAAAACAGCTACTAAATTAAGTAGCTGTTTTTCCATAAGTATGTGTTTTTGTGTATAACAAATTTAAAGTCAATCGGATATTAACTTTAGTCTCTAGAGCATCAACAAGATATTTCAAGGAGATCAAGGGCCATAATTCCGGAAATAACTATCCGTAATCACTGAAAATCAATAGGATTCTTCATCTCATGATCATATACACTGTGTATAAAGTCAATCGATATTAACTTTAGCCTCTAGAATGTCAAGAAGATATTTCAAAGAGATCAAGGGCCATAACACTACATTCTGTTTTGAAACAAAAACACTACATTCTGTTTTGTAACAAAAAGTCTGCAGGATGAAAATCACAACGCAGGTGTTTTAAATATTCTATTATCAATTAAATGCCCAGAAAAAAACCTTAAAAATAATTCCAGGATCATAATAACTAACAGTTTATTTTTACAGATTTTTCCTACTTCTAACTTCATATTTCAAAGCTGCATAACTGTTCTGTTGAAATATAACAAATATCTCATGATTAAATCTTATGAACTTTTTAAAAATTATATTAACTTAAATTTACATACCATTTGTGCCACCATAAAACAATGTTTAAAATTGTGAAAAGGCACTCCATTATAATTTTTGTATATTTCATATAGCCATTGATGTAATACTGGTAACTGAAATGTAACAATGTGTTAAGAATTAATTAATCACACAGATGATTATTAAAATTTAATAAAAAAGTATAGAAGCTACTCCGTACAATAACCATACAGTACAGGTTATTGTAGTATTGGTATCTTTCTTATTGTTTGCCCAGTTGACTTATGTTCATAAATTTTATAAGCTCTACTATTTTTTGTGAGCAAAATCTTTCAAATGTATGGGCAGTTATATACATAGAAATCAAAAGAGAAAACAGAACAAAAATTTGAAAAAATAGATGTAAGGCTGACCTTAAAAATATCTTTGTTTCGCCTAACGCGACCGACTAACTAAAACCACCCCCGACTTAAATTATTTTATTGCACTTTTCCGCGATCTTTTTATTTTATTTTGTGTGTCAACCTGAAATATATCACGAGAGTTATTTCCCTTTACTATGGCTATGGTTTGATTCATTATTGAAACTGGTTGATCAAGACGAAATCATCATAGGTGTCGCTTCTCAACAAAATGGTTGCAGACGAAAGCACGTCCATTCCCACGAAATGATTCTGCCTCTATTTTTCTCAAAAACGGATATTTTCAATATCCGTTTTCGAGAAAAATGAAGGCACAACCCGCACGATCGTTATAAAACGTGTTGAGGGAGTTTCAAACGTCAGTTTGTGGCAATTCGTGTGCGAGTCGTGCATCACGAAAAATCCCGATGTCATTGATTTGTTTGCCAATAAAAGAAGACGAATGTTTGCACCCGGAAAATTATCAAGCTGTCAAATTAGCTCTTAAAAAAAAATCTGAAAAAAAACCCGACCTACCGACCCCTCTCCTCGATTGTGGGTCGGGTTTGGTGAAACAAAGATATTTTTAAGGTCAGCCTAACAAAGAATTTTTCTCTTAAAAGAAAATTACCCATGGTAATTGCCAATGTGTAATGAATCCAAGAATTTATTAGCATAAACACTTACTTCAATGTTAAATTTTGTTAGAAATCCTAAATCTATGTACATTTGGCGCAATAATATCAGCATTTCAGGATCATCCCATTGCCAATTATCAAAAGTAGGTTTCCGTAAATAATCCCTTACTTCATCTGTAACTTGAACTTGACTGAAATATATTAATGTTGTTTACGCATCTGTTTAACAATCCATTGCTGTTCTGCACTACCAACAAGGGGAAACCACACAATTTTTATATTTTCATTTTATGTGCTCTTTAAGAATGTGGTACAGGCAAAAGTTCTCAAAGGAGGAATCCATAAAACCTTGAAATTCTCTTGATGGAAATTTTTAGTTTGACCTCGTTTCACAGACTTATTTTATAAATCCACTGAACATCTACAAAACTTATCTCATTGAGTGACCAATGAAATTGCTTATCTCTGCTTAGCCTAAGCAGACAATGCTCATCATTGAACTCTGTCTGGAAAGGCAATCACATAATGAACAACTACTCCAAATTTGAAAAATACTAGCGCAGTTAGAAGCAGAGCTATTGTGTTCCAAAAAGTGAGATGGACAAACCCATCTTAATAGTTCCAGCTTTCTTCGAACGGCAAGGGACAATCATATTAGTTGCTGTCATTCTAAACAACTGTATTTATATTAATGTGATGGTGATGTTATAATATATTTACACATTGCTCATCATGGTGGTCCTAAAAAGTACTTAAAGTTCATTACTATTATATTAATAATTCTAACATCTGTCCAATCTACTTTATTCTATGAGGTTGAGTAGATGTAGCATGTCATTGCCATTACAACATTTTATGTCAAATTCCAGGTCTAGAGCTGTCTACCACTTAACAGGTCCTTAACATGAAAAAATGAGATTTCCAAGTCCAAATTTAATAAAGGAAAACCCAAGGTTCACATTTGAATGACATTACTGTCAGTCAGAAAATTGCATTGCAGACAGCAATCTAATTCAGTTCCATTAGAAAAGGTATATTAATTTGTTAAAAATAATTCCTTATTTTCAGCTCAAGAATGTTCTAAAAGATATAAAATAAGAATCAATCCTATTTTGCAATTCACTTTGAAATTATGTTACAAGAATATTATTAGAAAGATAATTTGTATATAATCAGGTACATGTATTTTGCTGTATGTACATGGTGAGGGCAACAACTGATACATCCTTTAAAGGGGTCCACTGAATGGCAGATTCATAAATATAATGGCAAAAACAACACCCACACAAAATTATCACTCTGTACCTAAAAATTATAATTTAATAGTAAATGAAAATCATCCTATTTGTTAATCAAGATTTTGGTTACAGTAATAATATATTTGTAGAGCTAAGCCTAGACTGTTCTCCAGTGTATTAGGAATTAGTTTGTCTTTTTTTGTTTTTCATGGTCGTGTTTTGTCAGAGTTTTTCTTAGACTTGATCAGAGCAGTAGAAATCAATTCCTGGTCGGAGCTTCCTATAATTGGTTGACAGGCATGTGTGTCACTTTCCGTATCAACCTAACTGAATAATTTCGATCAGATCTTTACAGTAAAAACCCATCGATGCTCAAATGTTACAGTCCCTGGCATGGCATGGTTTTGTGTGAACTTTAAATGAAAGGAAAATAAAATGAAACAAAGAATTGATATAGACCAAAGGACTGTATAAAATCTAAACTAAACCTGATAATGGATGAGAAAAGAATTCCAACTAGAATTGCGTGCAATGCTGGAGGCTTGCACAATACCCAAACATTACACGGTGACCGAATAATGCAAGACAAAGTCTAACCCCACACCCATCCCCACTCTCACACACATATACATAACTAAGATATTCTCATGTTTTTCGTATGTGCATTAGGATAGAATGAAAAGGAAAAATAAAGTTTAACAATTCACAACATGGTATTAATCTTAGATCGCTGGAATCAGAAAGACATCGGCAATCCAGCTATGTAATTGAAAACTCAAAATTTCAAGAAATAACCATTTTTTTAAATTTTGAAAATTTTAAAGAATAAATGAGAATGACATGGTATCTAAATTCAGTAGATATCTAATCTGCAATATTCCCAGCTCTACAAAAAGAAAATTGGTTGGGAATTGACAGAATTATGGTCAATTTTCAAATTTTGTGAACATTAAAGATTTACATCACTTCCGGTCTGCTCACAACTTTTGCAATATTTATAAGAACTAACTGTTACCAATAAATGAATATTAAAAACTTTATCTCTTACAGTTTCTAAGATCAGTTTCACGAAAGGGTCATAAAGCATTTCAAATTTACCAATGCTTGCAAATCCTGCAGCATATTGAAAAAGACCTGTTTTCCTTTACTATATAAAGTAGTAGTAGTTAGTTCCACCGAGGTGATATCGCAGACAAATATATAAATAAGGCATTTTACTTATAAATAGCTCCACTGGAGAGCTTTATTTTCACTGATATTAAGAAATTACATTATGTATACAAAGGAACTGTCACATTAATTCGCCGACAAAATGTTATTTACTAAAATAACTTATTTTCACTCTAGAAGCACTAATCCCATATTTTGGTTAACAGTAAAACACTCATAGTTCAAATACTGCCACTTTGAAAAAAAAAAAAAAAAAGCTTTATTTTCGAGAAAAAGACAACTAAACATGTTCCAAATCGTAAACATACGCCGTTTTCAATTTTCGATCTCTTTGTTTCTGCTAACCCTGATATTTCAAAAGTTGTACATAGTTTCACACAACAGACTACTCATTAGACTTCCCGTTCCACAAAAATGGATCAAGCCATTTAGAAATGGGATGGATCAGAAAAAGAAATGAAAATGGACGGAAAGAACTCAAAAATGGCAGGAAAGCATCCAAAGATTAAATTAGATAATTTGGAATGGAACTTATATTTTAGGAATCAGACTAACCTCGGCTATTCGAATATGTAGGAAAAATTTGTAAATTTTAAAAATTAAGGAAATAAATTGTTCTGTAAACAACTTTGTCAGCACAAAAAAGGTCAAAGACGAAATTTGAAATTTTGAAATACCAAAAATCAAACACTGATCACAGCTATCAAGAAATTTATTCATTTTGTAAATAGGAGACAAATTCTTCAAACTATGGCCTATTCTGTTTATTTTCAACCCCATATTCAATTCAAAATGGTCACCAGCAGTTGAACGAAATCAAAATCCTGCTTTAAACGTTTTTTTAGGCATCCCTTCAAGGATTCAGAAAATGTAACTCCCATGTCTGTAGGTTAAATATCACAAAAATAATAGGGATTTTTCACTGGCACTTTCGGTTCGATCCTGACACTCCATATTATGTGTGTGCATCAGTAGTGTCCTAGCTAGTACAGAAATAAACTATCAAGGCAATCCAACAATGGGATTTAACATTATAGTCAGCCAAATTATGAATCTGTTTGTGTCGTTGCAGTTAAATCACATTACAGTTCACCCTTTTCAGTTAAGACAATTTGGCAATATAGATGTTTAGTTTAGCACTGTGAGTGTTCAACTACTTGTTGAATCATTCAATTCCTTCCATTCTCATTGTGAAAGACATAATTACATCATTAAAAAAATAAAACTTATTGCTGAATGACCTTCATTCAAATGGGTCAATATCTAGGTTTAAAAATTGAGAAAAAGCATCTTGAATTGTCTCTAAATCCAGTTTGCAGGTTTCATCAAAATCAGATCAAAATTGTGACCTCTAGAGGCTCCACAACCTTGTTGACCAGATGTTTACACTATTTGCATACGAGGGGCGGCCATTTTGTCTGGCAGTTTTGGCTTGATTTTCATGAAATTCAAACTCAACCAACATTACGGTGTAACAGTGATATATTCGAACGTTTTCTTAAACTGGATAATAATTGTGACCTTTAGAGGGACCACAAGCTGAACACGTGATTTTTTGTACATTCAGGGGCCATAATTCAGGAAGTTACTATCCGATATGCGCAAATATCGACAGGAGCCAGGATCTGTGGGTTATAAACATGCATTTCAAGTTTCATCAAACTTGGATAAAAATTGTGACTATTTGCATACGTGGGGCGGCCATTTTGTACTAATTTTGGTCCGATTTTCACAAAATTCAAACTCAACCAAAATGACGGTTTAATGGCGATATATTCAAATGGTTTTTTGAATCGGATAATAATTGTGACCTCTAGAGGGACCACAAGCTAAAAACACGATTTTTCGTACAATCAGGGGCCATAGTTAAGGAAGTTATGATCCGATATGCGCGAATATCGAAAAGAACCAAGATCGTTGGGATATAAACATGTATTTCAAGTTTCATCAAAATCGGATAAAAATTGTGACCTCTGTGGAGGGTCCACAACCTAGATATACCAGATGTTTACACTATTTTGTCCGGCAGTTTTGGTCCTATTTTCACGAAATTCAAACTCAACCAAAATTGTCACCTGTACGGTGTCCACAAACAAATTGTGGACGGACGGACAGGGGCGAGGGCATAATACGTCTACATGAAAATGTGGGCATATAAAAAAATAATCTGGTTCTCGGACATTCCTGCCTCACTTCAAAAGCTCTGCATGACCTGTTTCTATTTATTTCAAAAAATAAAAAATAAAAACAATCTCATTAATTACCTTGTGTAAATATTTTCCCTGAGGTACAGGAAGGAAAAATTTGAAATGTAGCAACACTGACTAATGTTACTGGCAATCATAAATGACACTAAATATTCATACTTTCCTATAAACTACATGATGAAATAAATGTAGTACCCTTAAATGTGATGCGAGATTCCAATTAGACCAGTAGTGACTTGATCATTTGGCTAAAACATCAGATTTTTTGGAAGGATTGTTTTATAACAAGAATAATGTTAAGCATAAACTAAGCAGGGTAGACCATGCACACTTTGAAATGTAGTTTAACATCCTAATTTTTTACACCAAGTGGGCTAGAACACTGGATACTACTTCCTATTAATTTGGGAGGTTCTCCTAGTTAACAACTGTTGTTATAATAGACTGCATTTTCTTTTTTTTTATATCTTTAAACCTTTCAGGTCATCAGATAATGTTCTTTGTTTTTCTGTACTAATCAAACATATATATCTATCCATATCTTACATATATATAGTATGGTAGCTGCTTAATCTG